TCCGGCTCCTGCCATTGTCCAGGAAGAAAAATAGAAAGAAAAGAAAAGTTTTTACATGGAATCTATTTTTATAATCATTGAGAGAAGGATCTCGAGGAAGCCCATAAACTCCCAGCCTTCCTCCAGACCCAGGAAAAGTATCGCTGAATTATCCTGGCATGTTTTGCAGATGCTTATATACCACAAAGACAAAAAAAAAAAAAAGAGAGACTGCAGGAACCTTCACGGTACACAGGAAGTCTCTTGCATTTGTTTTGTTTTGTCATTATTTTTAAAATCACGTTGCCAGACCCTAATGGAGAAAATGTGTTAGTCGCTCAGTCATGTCTGACTCTCTGCGACCCCAGGGACCGTAGCCCACCAGGCTCCTCTGTCCACGCGATGCTCCAGGCAAGAATATTGGAGTGGGTTGCCATTCCCTTCTCCAAGTGGAGAAAATAGCCTTGCTTTTTTTTTTTTTTTCCTTCCAAAAGCCGTGTGTGCGCGTTTCTGTTTTACATAATGGAAAGTTGAATGAGGTTTCTCACTAACAGTGCGTCTCTGCTCCCAATCTTTTTATGACTTTGTAAAAATCAAAATCCAGTTTATTCGTTCTATTCTTTTGAAAATATTTGTGTATCTGGCTGCACGGGGTCTTAGCTGAGGCACACGGGATCTTGACTTGCAGCACTTGAACTCTCAGTGGCAGCACACACAACCTAGTTCCCTGACCAGGGATTGAACCCGGGGTCCCCTGCTTGGGGAGCGTGGAGCGTCAGCCTTTCCAAGGACCGTGTGGAGGTCTCAGTGGTATGCAGCGCCTGAAAGTGCTTTGCAAACCATGGCCGTTTTAAACCCGGGGCGGGGGAGATAACAGCAAGAGTTCCGGAAATAGCAGTGCCCACTTGCATGCGTGTGCACGTGTGAGTCAATTCAGTCGTGTCTGACTCTTTGCGACCCCGGGGACTGTAGCTCACACCAGGCTCCTGTGTCCATGGGATTCTCCAGGCAAGAATACTGGAGTGGGTTGCCATTTCCCTTCTCCAGGGGGTCTATCCCCACCCAGGGATCGAACCCGCACCCCCCGTATCTCCTGCACTGCAGGCAAATTCTTTATCCGCTGATCCAGTTCCGAAGAATCTAAGTACATCTCACTGTGACTGGCTTTACTAGAAAATTTTTAAGAGGTGACTTTTTCAGGAACGCTATAACCAATTACACCAAACTGGGTGGCTTAAAACAAGAAATTCATCCATCCTTGATAATAGACACCCATCTATTTTCATTGTCATGTAGCTAGTTAGCTAGCTGTTATTTATCTACCTACTATATATGTATGTATCAATCATCTGTCTACATTGCTATATTTCCATATTTTATCCATGCACCCATCCACACATCTATATCTATGTATCATATATTGTCTACCTATAAATCATACGTATCATCTACCATATATTTATGTATCTATCATCTCTCTTTCTATACATTCATCTATCCACATACCTATTTGTTTCATCTACCATGTAGCTATCTTATCTATCACATCTACCTATTTTCTGTCATCTTTATCATCATCTAGCTAGCCAGCTGTCACCTACTATATATTTATGTATCGGTGCTCCCCCGGTGGCTCAGCTGGTAAAGAACCCGTCTGCAATGCAGGAGCCGCAGGAACTGTGAGTTCAGTCCTTGGGTGGGGAGGATCCCGGGGAGGAGGGCATGGCAACCCACTCCAGCACTGTTGCCTGGAGAAGCCCCACGTACAGAGCAGCCTGGAAGTCTGCAGACCATAGGGTCACAAAGAGTCGGACATGAATGCAGCGACTTAGCACGCAGGTGTGCATTTATGTGTCTATCAATCATTTGTCCACCTATCCATCCATCCATCCACACATCTATCTTATATATCATCTGTGTCTCCATGTATCATCTATCTAGGTATCTATGTACTGTCTACTATCAATCAATCATATCTATCTATACATACATATCTATACATGGATCTGTCAAGCATCTATCCATTCATCTACCCACATACCTATTTATCTATTTGATCTATCATATCATTGAGAGAGTCAACTCCTAGACAGGTTGATAAGAAGTCTGGGGGTCCCCAAGGAGAGAGGGGTCTGGAATTCTCAAGGAAGAGGAAAGGACAAACTTTTTTTTCCTTGTACATTCCTTAGGATTATATAACAATAATGTATCCTGCTTGAGGACAGTTTCTGGGAAAAAAAAAAAAAAAAACCTTCTGGTTAATCCTGTTATCTTAAAATGTAAATTACGGGAGTGGGTCTAGTAAGGTCTTTACAGACTCCAGACATTCTTTTGATTCACTGTAACAACTAATAAAAAAGTATATAACTCCATTGCTAACACTAGTGAGGGAGCACTCTTTCTGCCCCCTTCTGATGCCTATGTCAGAAGCTTTCTCTGTTTTATACTTTAATAAAACTCTATTACATAAAAGCTCTGAGCGATCAAGCCTCGTCTCTGTCCCCGGATTGAATTCTTCTCCTCCAGAGGCCAAGAATCCCGGCGTCTGTCGTAGTTCAGCAATAAACTTTCATCATCTGGCTATTTTGTATCATCTACCATATACGTATACTATATATTGACCAGATGGACATGGGTTTGAGCAAGCTCCGGGAGTTGGTGACGGACAGGGAAGCCTGGTGTGCTGCAGTCCATGGGGTCACAAAGAGGTGGATACAACTGAGCGACTGAACTGATATATGCATATATCTATTAACCATCTATCCATCCATCCATCCACCTACACATTCATCTGTCATCTATGTATCATCTATCTAGCTATCGATGTATTGTTGATCTATCAAATCGTATCTACTTAAGGTCTCTCATGGTGGTTCTCAACCAAGGGTGATGGGAGGGCATTGGAAATATTTAGAGCCATGACTTGACTGCCACACATCTGGAGTGGAAGACGCTACTGACCCACCGTGGGTATAGCCTACAGATGCTGCTAAACACCCCACGACGCACACCACGGCCCCCACTCCAGAAAATGACGCAGCCCCCAACGTTCTTGCTGCTAACGTTGACAAACCCTGTCCGAGATAAAAGCGCTGGTCTCTGGAGCACGAACGCTTCAAGCAGGACATGTTTCCGACACATCTGGGCACCCTGGCACCCCATCCTGGTACCCAGCACATCCCAAGGGCTGTGGAGTTATCCTCAAGGCCAGAAACAAACTGATGCACGAGACAGCATCCGTGCTTCCCAGAATGGTGGGCAGCCGAGCTGTTTCGTTTCAGTGACTGCTATTCTTTCCAAATTGGTGGCATGGTCAACACTCACCTTCTTCCCAAACATTTAATCTTGCTTTTTACCCGCTTCTTGGTACGGAAAGCCAAAACATGCGTGGGACATGCACCCAAGATGCCTCTTTCCTGAAGAAAATTAGCTGAAGGGTTTCCGTGACACCATTTTTTTCAGTCTCAATTTATCTTGGTTCAGATTGGAACTGTTTCCACCCTTTCTTCCTGTCAAAGGGGTCGCCAGAGCCACCAACTTGGACTCCGTTTCTTTGTAATAAAAAGAGTTGCAGAGAAAGGAGTAATTATAGTGTGGTGGATAAAAGCAATTTTTAACCAATCTGATTTATTAAGATTTTTTTTTTTTTTTTGGATGTGGCCCACCATTTTTAAAGTCTTTATTGGATTTCTTACAATCCTACTTCCATTTTAGGTTTAGGTTTTTTTTTGGCCCTGAGGCATGTGGGACCTACAGAGTCTTAACCACTGGATCACCAGGGAAGTCAAATCAACCAATCTGATTTAAAACTCAAATGCAACTCATGTGCGTTTGCCCTTGAAAAAGAATACCACTGTCATGACTGCTTGGCTCTTTGGAAAATATTATTTTATTATCCAATGTACAGTATATGGGCCTTAAAAATACAGTAAAGCAGTCATGGAAATAACAGATCAACTTTCAGTGGCAGGCAGGAGGAAAGCGATTTCCGGGCTTGTCCGGAAGACAGTGGGTTTATTCTCTGGGGTCACAACTTTGCTTTCTGTTCCGTCTCCTCTCATCTCCCTGCAACTCTCACGGGATACACTTTATTATAAACAAGGAAAGTCAGTATGTCACTCCCTCCCCCACCCACAGGATTCCTGGGAACAGTAATACCTTCATGGTTCATGAATCTGAAGGAAGATGAGGAGGAAACTTGCTTCAACTGCATTTCCATGCCTGCCCTAATGTATCCAAGTCTTGTAAAGACCAATAACTTATTATTTTTAACGAGACAGAAAGTATGTCTTTTGCTTTCTGCTCTCATCGTCTGATTAGAAAGGAAAAATATATATATATATAAAACACTATATAAAAAGTGAGTTCCAGGAACAAAGCATTCTTATAAAACGAGATGTATTGTATGACACATGTACGTGGGATAAAATAAAAAAAAATTCAATCATTGTGGTTCTCAGGCCTTGTTGGGCAAAGTGGAATGCTGAAATAACGGAGAGGTGGATACTCGTTCTAGAAGGTTCTATCGTGTTGAAACTGCAGCAGGTTAACTAGGGGAACGCGTTTTGCAGCTGGGTAGCGAGGCACGGTGAATCTCTATGATTTGTTTGCAGTGAGTGCTTCTCAGGGATCCTACAGACGCTCGTTCAGGCGGCAGGGCGGCGCCCGCGACTCAGAAAATTGAGATCCGCACCCCAGTCCCGTGGAAAGCAAGACCAGGGCGCTTGGCATCCTGTAAACAGGTCACAAAGTCGTCCCCCCCCCCCCCCCGCCCCCCAGGTCGGGGCAGACACCGCCTTACAGCGCCTGCGGTGTTTCCTGACGTCAGCAAGCTTCATTTCAACTTCCTAAGCGATCGCAACCCTCTCCAGTATGCTGACCTGGAGAACCCCACGGACAGAGGGGCCTAGCGGGCTACAGTCTAGGCAGGAGGGCGAGTCTCAGCATCCCGCACGACTGAGCCGCGAACACTCCCGCTTTCAGGCGACGGCCGTGGCGCCCCCGCCGTCCGAGTTGGCGTCTCAGTAGACGTGGACGTAGGTGGTCTTCGAGTCGCTGCCCAGGAGGTTTTTTGCAGTGCATTTGTAGAAGCCCGCGTCTCTCTGGCTGGTCTGCTGGACAGTCAGGGACCCCTGCGGGTGCAGGAATCTGTTGCCGTAGAGACGGGGCTGCGTCCCCGCGGCGAGCTGCGACTTGTCGGGCAGCTCCCAGCTTATCTCGGCTTTGGGGATGCCCATGGCCATGCAGTTCATCTTCACGGTGCTGCCGGGGCGGGCGTAGATGACCGGCGTGGGCTCGCTGGTGATCCGCGGGGGGTAGGCGATGACGATCACCGGGACGCTCACGACGGCAGGGCCGTGCTCGCCCTCCGCGTGGCAGACGTAGGTGCCCCGGTCGAAGACCGAGGCGTCCCGCACGGTCAGGGTGCCGTTCTCCCAGAGGGCGAGGCGCCCCCGCACCTGGGGGCCGTCCAGCACCTGGCCGCCGGGCAGCGTCCAGGACGGGCGCGTCCCCCGGGCGCCCGGGACGCAAGGCAGCCGCAGCGTCTCCCCGTTGACGATGCTGACCAGGTTGTGGTAGCGCTTGCTCGTCCCGGCCTGCAGCCCCACCTTCAGCGACACGAGCCTCTCCGTGTGGCCTGCCGAGTTGCTGGCCACGCAGCGGTAGGCGCCGGCGTCCTCGGGCGAGAGGCCGCTGACGTGCAGCCGGCCGTCCCCCCTGTGGAAGAACCTGTGCAGCCGCTGGCCGCTGCGCAGCTCCGTCCCGTTGGGCAGGACCCACCGCAGCGCGGGCGGCGGGCTGCCCGCGGCCGAGCAGTTGAGACTGATGGTGTGGCCGGCCATGGCCGTGATCTTCTCGCTGACCGGGTCGTGGAAGACGGGCTTCTCCAGGGGCTCCAGGACCGTGAGCTGGACCACCAGGCGGGCCTCCCCGCCCTCGTTGCGCCCGATGCACGCCAGCTGCACCGAGTCGCTCGCGCGCAGGCTCTTGATGTCCAGCGTCCCGTTGCGGTGGATGGTGATGCGGTTTCCGTAGTAGGGGGCGGGCAGGACCACGCCCTCGGGGAAGGCCCAGAGCACGCGCGGCGCCGGCACGCCTTCCGCCCGGCAGTCGATGAGCTTGCGGCTGCCGCCGGGGGCCACCTCCCGCACCGTGGTGATGGCCTCGGGGTAGCCGTTGATGGTGGGCGGCTGCACGTGGACGTGGACCCAGACGGTCTTCCGGTCCTCGCCGCCGCTGTTCCTGACCACGCACGTGTAGTTGCCGCTGTCGGAGCGCTGCGCCTTCTGGATGAGCAGCGTGCCATCCTGGTAGACCTGGTACTTGTCGGACGAGGCGGGGATGAGCCGGTGGCTGGGAGACAGCCAGGTGACCCTGGGCGCCGGCTCCCCCTGGGCCTCGCAGGCCACGCTGACCACGTCCCCGTAGGGCACCTGGATCACCGAGTACGTCTTGTTGCGGATGGCGGCCGGCTCGCTCACCACCTTGACGCGCACACGCATCTCGTCCTTGCCGACCTGGTTTTCGGCGAAGCACGTGTAGTCCCCCTCCTCCCGCGGGCCCACCTCGTTGAAGTAGAGCGTCCCGTTGTGGAACACCACGTAGCGCTTGGCGCGCCCGCCGCTGTCGTCCGCCTGCATGAAGGAGTTGACCAGGCTCCCGTCCGGGAGGCTCCAGGAGATCTCGGGGTTGGGGAGCCCCGTGGCCAGGCAGTCCACCTTGAGGTCGCCCCCGTAGAGAACCCGGTGGTCGCTGGCTTCCTTGTGCTGGATCTTGGCGGCTTTCATGACCACGTTCACCTTGAGCGCCACGAAGTCGTCGCCCACCTTGTTCCGGGCGACGCACAGGTAATCCCCCGCGTCTTTGTCGGTGACCGACTTCACCACCAGCGTCCCGTTGGCGAACGCCTTGATCCTGGGGTCGAAGCTGACGGGGAAGAAGAAAAGGAGGAAGAAGGTCAGTCTCCCAAACGCTCTCTTGGCCCGGCTCGAGATCACCGAAGCCAGACAGACACTTGGGGTTCTGAGGACCCACTGGGTGGTCAGGCTGTCGTCACTGAGGCACGGTCAACTCGTTGCCACCCCGCAGGACGCGGCCCGGCCAGGCCCCTCTGTCCAGGGGATTCTCCACGCCACAGTACCAGAGTGGGTTGCCTCGCCCCTTCTCCAGGGGATCTTCCCCACCCGGGAATCGGACCCGCGTCTCCTGCATCGGAGGCAGGTTCTTTTACCACTGAGTCACCTACTCCATGGGATTCTCCAGGCAAGAACACTGGAGTGGGTTGCCATGCCCTTTCTCCAGGGGATCCTCCCCACCCAGGGGTCGAACTTGACTCTCCTGCGTTGGAAGGCGGATTCTCTACTGCTGAGTCACCAGGGAAACTCCACCAGTACCCAAGACTGCCACTCAAAACGTCAGATGGTTTTTGCAGCCGAAAGGGGACACTTACCCAAACACAGAAGCAATTTATTTACCATGAATAAGAACTTCCCGGTGGAGCCTGCCCTCTGGCTGGCCTGGCCACGGATTCAAAGATGTGAAATGCAGCCTGCGACATCAGCCCTGTTAGTGTGTGCGTGTGTGGGGTGTGTGTGTGTGTGTGTGTGTGTGTGGATCAAATATTTGCATGCTGGCCAGTGCGGTGCTTAGGGTAATGATAAAATCAGATCAAATGCTACAGGCTTGGACAGAATGAACATGCATTAACCTTAGGATGAGGTGAAATTTTTCCTAAAGAAAGCACTTTACGGACGATTTCTACCCTTGACAGTTCTCACGCGGCTGGACTGAACTGTGAATCAAAGAGGAAGCAAAGTATCGACGCCACGGATCACGGAGGTGTGGTGATCGGAAGAGTTTCGATGCTAAGGCGGGATGCCTCAGCACTTGATGCTGTTGGTCTACAAGTGTCTTCTCTAGAATGTGTCAGTGCCAATGTGCTCACTGGTTCAGTCGTGTCTGACTCTTTGCAACCCCTATAGACTGTAGCCCGCCAGGCTCCTCTGTCCATGGGATTCTCCAGGCAAGAATACTGGAGTGGGTTGCCATTTCCTTCTCCACTAAAGCTTACAGATCCTCACCAGTTTGCACCTATGCTACATGCCATTTCTCCACGCAGTAGACCTACATTCACACGCTGCTGAGTTAATATGTAAGAAAAAAAGTTTTTCAGCATAAAGGGGCAACACGGAAAGAAAGACAGAAACAGCTACCCTACGTACGGGACATTTTTATAAATAGGTATTGGCCTCTCCTCCAGGAGTGCAGAGCTAATGCTTTGAAAAACGGGTTAAGACATTTAGGAACTTCCTACTTTAAAAGTGACCAACATCTCAGTTACTTATAAATGATCCTTCTGGCTTCTGTAGAGGGAACTTGAACATTCATCCCTAAATATTTCCTGCACACTGCATCATTCTCATAGCATGTATGGAATGGTTAATTTAAAATAAAAAGCCTCTGACGGAATACAACCTTAAAACCTGATTGCTGTTGTTGCGTCATGGCTCATCCCTTAGAGACACCATGGATTGTAGCCTGCCAGGCTCCTCTCTCCGTGGGATTTCCCATGGCAAGGATACTGGGAGTGGGTTACCATTTCCTTCTCCAGGGGATCCTCCCGACCCAGGGATCGAACCCTTATCTCCTGCATTGGCAGGCAGATTCTTAACCACCGAGCCACCTGATCATTGCCCATCAAAGCACCGATTGTGGTGGTTTAGTTGCTGGCTTGTGTCCGGCTCTTTTACAACCCCCTGGACTGTAGCCCGCCAGGCTCCTCTGTCCACGGGATTCTCCAGGCAAGAATCCGGGAGCGGGGTGCCATTTCCTCCTTCAGCAAGTCTCTCCGACCCAGGGATCGAACCCAGGTCTCCTGCACTACAGGCAGATTCTTCACCGACTGAGCTATAAGCACCTATTGACAAGGGCCAAATAAACTGTTCTGTTGGCCACGAGAAAGAGAGTCAAGTCTATGTGAATCAGTCAGTCACTGGATAGCAGTGGAAAAGACAAAAGATGTTTTAACGTGTCTTGGAGTCAGACTCCAGAAATGTATACAGTAGCATATGTCTGAAAAACATTTAGAAATGCCTATGGCAACGAATCCTCGTCTTGGTCACAATCAGAATCCACAGAGCAAGCCTGAAAAAGGTGCCTGGCTCCACTGCACAGGAGACTTGGCTTCAAGACACCAAAGTCCAGTACCTCTGTTTTTTAAACAATCCCAGTGTGTAGGTGGGGCAGAGAACCCGCTCCTTTATAAAAGTCCCATGGGCCGTTTAATGACACTTTTTTTCTGAGAATGTAATTAGTCAGAAGCTAGGAATAATGAAGCTACAGAGACCGTCGTTTATGATTTACAGCGAGAAGCTGTAGCACGGCCCCCGTCGACGCTGGAATGACCATCCTTCATTTCAGCGTCCGTTCAACACTCGCCTCAGCCTTGCCAACGTCAGTGGAAAACAGGCCTCCACGTGGCAGGACACCGGCCCAGCTGGAAGATATTCTGGGGAAAACCGGGCACGTGGTATTCCGGATGGACTGTGCAAAAGTTCACGAGGTACCACCCAGTCGCCTGAAGTTAAAATAGACAGGCTGGGAGAATGCGACAGCAACCTTTTCCTGCATTGGAAGGAGACTGGGTGTCTGCACAGAATCTTGGGTGCTGCTTTTTTTCGGTCCTGTCCGCGGGGAGGAACCCACACCAAGCTGCCCGGCCCTGGAGGCTGAAGAGCTGGGGAGGGGGTGGGGTTTCAACATGGCGTCATCGGTGTCGCTCTGCCTCCCTGCTGCCAACCCCTGTGTCTTTCTTCTGCAGCTGGAAACACTGAAAAAAGACAGTGGCTTTGGGGGAACGCGCCCAGGGTTTTGCAGCTTCAGCACCTAATGTAAGGGGCTGGATGACTGTCCATGGTGGCGTCTCCTGTGCATGGCGGGGTTTGGGGCAGCTCTCCTGGTCTGTACTGATTAAACAGTAGCATGTATGCATGTATGGATGGATGGATGGATAGACTGGATGGATGGATGAATAGATAGATGCATGCATGGATGGATGGATGGATAGATGGATGGATGGGTGGAAGGATGGATGGGTAGATAGATGCATGCATGGATGGATGGATGGATGGGTAGATAGATGCATGCATGGATGGATGGATGGATGGGTAGATAGATGCATGCATGGATGGATGGATAGATGGATGGATGGATGGAGGGATAGATAGATGGATGGATGGTTGGGTAGATAGAGATATGGTTGGATGGATGGAGAGAGGGATAGATGGATGGATGGATGATGGATGGATGGAGAGATGGATGGATGATGGATGGATGGAGAGATGGATGGATGATGGATGGATGGAGAAATGGATGGATGGATAGATGGATAGATAGATGCATGCATGTATGGATGGATGGATAGATGGATGGATGCATGGATGGAGGGAGGGATGTATGGATAGATGGATGGATGGGGGAAGGATGGATAGACTGGATGGATGAATGAATAGATATAGATGCATGCATGTATGGATGGATGGAGGGATGCATGGATAGATGGATGGATGGGGGGTGGATGGATGGATAGACTGGATGGATGGATGAACAGATAGATGCATGCATGTATGGATGGATGCGTAGATGGATGGATGGATGGGTAGATAGACATATGGATGGATGAATGCATGGGTGGATGGATGGATGGATGGATGGATGGATGGATGGGTGGATAGGTAGACGGACGGATGGATGGGTGAATGGATGGATGGGTGGATGGATAGATGGGTAGATAGACATATGGATGGATGAATGGATGGGTAGATGGATGGATGGGTGGATAGACTGGATGGATGGATGAATAGATAGATGCATGCATGTATGGATGGATGCATAGATGGATGGATGGATGGGTAGTTAGACATATGGATGGATGAATGCATGGGTAGATGGATGGATGGGTGGATAGATAGACTGGATGGATGGATGAATAGATAGATACATGCATGTATGGATGGATGGATAGATAGATGGATGGATGGATGGATAGATAGATGTATGGATGGATGGATAGATAGATGTATGGATGGATGGAGGGGTGGATGGATAGATGGATGGATGGATAAATGGATGCATGCATGTATGGATAGATGGGTGGGTAGAGAGACATATGGATGAATGGATGGATGGATGCATGCATGCATGTATGGATGGATGGATGGATAGGTAGATAGACATATGGGTGGATGGATGGAGGAGGGATAGATGGATGGATGGAGGGATGGATGGATGGATAGATGTATGTATGGAGGGATGGATGGATAGATAGATAATTAGGCAGTCACTTAGGCTATGTCAGCATTTGTCAGTCTCAACCCTACTGACACCTGGGGGCTGGACGACTCTCTTATGTGGGGCGTCCTCTGCACTGTGGGGTGTGGAGGAGCATCCCTGGTCTCCACCCATCAGGTCTAGGAGCACTCCCCGCCAAGGTGTGACAAGCAGAAATGTCTCTGGATATTGTCACATGTCCCCTGAGGGCCAAGTCATTCCTGGTTGAGAACCACAGCTAGAGATAGATAGAGAGATGGATGGATGGATAGACAGATGGATGGATGGATGGGTAGATAGACATGGATGGATGAATGGATGGGTAGATGGATGGGTGGATGGATGGATGAATGGGTGGATAGATGGATAGGTGTATGGAAGGATGGATGGGTAAATGGATGGATGATGGATGGATAGATAGACGTATATATGGAAGGATGGATGGGTAGATAGACATATGGATGGATGGATAGATGTATGTATGGATGGATGGATAGATAATTAGACAGTCTCTCACGCTAGTTCAGGGTTTCTCAGCCTCAGCACTACTGACACCTGGGACTGGACAACTCTCTGGCGTGGGCCATCCTGAGCACACATCCTCCATGCCGTGGGGTGTGCAGCAGCACCCCTGGTCTCCACCCACCACATGCCGGGAGCCCCGCTTCCCCATTCCTGAAGTCACATCAACCAAAAATGGCTCCCCAAATTGCCCCAAGTCCCCGGGGGACAAAATCCCCCTTGGTTGAGACCCACTGCTCTAGATTCAAACATCTGGGACTCGGAGACAGGGCAACAAGGCAAGGTGCTGCTTCTTGTCGCCAAAACGAACTTTAAGGATTCCAGATGTGTGACCTTTGTGTATCACCATGCCTTTCAGATTTTTGTCTTTCCCTCCTTTCCTTCTGTTGCGGATACACTTTAACATCATGTGTGGAGCTCCTACGTGTTTTGTTGAGATTCGATTATAGAAAGAGAAGGCAAACTGTTTTTATCTATCCTTTTGTTGTTTCTGTTTAGTCCTTAAGTCGTGTCTGAATCCCTGGCCACCCGATGGACTGAATCCCGCCAGTCTCCTCTGTCCACGGGATTTCCCAGACAAGAACACTGGAGTGGGTTGTCATGCCCTTCTTCAGGGGATCTTCCCGATCCAGGGATCGAACCCAGGCCTCCTGCATTGCAGAGGGATTCTTTACTTCTGAGCCACCAGGAAAGCCCAAGAATACTGGAGTGGGTAGCCTATCCCTTCTCCAGTGGATCTTCATCACCCAGGAACGGAATCAGAGTCTCTCCTGCATTGGAGGCAGGTTTTTCACCAACGGAGCTACCAGGGAAGCCCATTCATTCCAGACAAGGAGTCGTTCCCTTTTCTGTCTGACCCCACGAAAAGGTGTCCCCCCCAAATCCCAGTCATTGGAAAAGACCCTGATGCTGGGAATGACTGGAGGCAGGAGGAGAAGGGGGCGACAGAGGATGAGATGGTTGGATAGCATCACTGACTCGATGGACATGAGTTTGAGTAAACTCCGGGAGCTGGTGTTGGACGGGGAGGCCTGGCGTGCTGCAGCAGTCCATGGGGTCCCAGAGTTGGACACGGCTGAGCGACTGAGCAACACAATTCCAAGGGGAGACGGAGGGAGGTGCCCCAAGAAAAAAACTCCAAGGGGAGGCATAGGTAGGTGTCCCTGGGAGCGCGCGGAAGTGCCCGGGGAATCATGGTGAGTCCGGAGCGCCCCTATACGTACGTACCTGAAAAGCGCATCGATCATCCGCTTGGACGGCAGCCTCCAGACGATGCGCGGCCAGGGGTCCCCAGAGGCGCTGCAGTCCAGGCGGAGGGTTCCTCCGTAGCGAACGTCGGTCCTCTGCGGGGAGGTGCCGGTGATGCGCGCGTTGGCGGCCGAGCGCTGCACCGTGAGCTGCACCGTCCGGCGCGCCGAGCCCACCAGATTGGCGGCCACGCACTCGTAGCGCCCGCTGTCCTGGGGCGCCAGGTTGCGAATGTAGAGGGTCCCGTTGGGGAAGACGAAGAGGTTGCCGTGGACGAACTGCGAGGGGCGGATCTGGGTGCCATCGCGGAGCACCCAGCGCACGCTGGGCAGGGGCGCGGCGCGGGCCGTGCAGTGGATGTGGATGCTGAGGCCGGGCGGCAGCGAGATGTTCTCCGCCTTCTCCTGGTGGATGACCGGGGGCAGCGCCGCCACGTGCAGGCGGATGGCCAGGCTGTCGGCGCCCGCCGCGTTGCTGGCCACGCACTTGTAGACGCCCCTGTCTTGGAACGACGCCTCCTTGATGCTCAGCGTCCGGTTCTCGTGTAGCGTGACCCTGCCCTCCACGGGGGACACGGTCTGCCACACGCGCCCGTCGGGGAAGACCCAGGAGATTTGCGGCGCGGGGGTGCCCTTGGCCAGACACTCCATGGCGATGGTGTCGCCCAGGTAGACGGTGACGTCCTTGTAGTGGGAGGCCAGGATCTGGGGCTGCTGCACCGTGACCGACAGCAGGACCACCATGCGGTCGGCCCCGTGCAGGTTTTTGGCCGTGCACATATACTGCCCGCGGTCCTGCACCTGGACGCTCCGGATGACGAAGGTGCCGTTCTTCAGGACCTCGAACCGCTGCAGTCTGGTGTTGGGGGTCATCAGAGCGCCTGGAATTCAAAAATAGCTGCCATCAGATGCGATGCACAGAGCCTATTTCCACAAGGATGGAATGAAGACGATTAGTTGATGCATCTCTGCCTGCAGCCGCCCAGTCGCCAAGTCTTGCCCGACCCTTTGTGACCCCGCTGGACCGTAGCCCGCCAGGTTCCTCGGGCCATTGGACTCTCCCAGGAAGGAACACTGGCGTGGGTTGCCATTCCCCCCTCCAGGGGATTTTCCCGATGTAGGGATTGAACCTGAGTCTCCCGCATTGGCACTGAACCATCAGGGAAACTCTTTAATCTCATTTCTCCCGTTTATGTCCAAACTGCAAAAAAGCAAAAGGCCCAACCCCCAGGACTTCCAATAATCTTCTCGAGCGCGCGCGTGTGTGTGCTAGATCACTTCAGTCGTGTTCAACTCTATGTGACCCCGTGGACTGTAGCCTGCCAGGCTCCTCTGTCCGTGGGGTTTCTCCAGGCAAGAATTCTGGAGTCAGCTTTAAGTATAGATACATCCCCTCGCTCTTGAACCTCCCTCCCGCCCCCACCCCAGCCCTCTAAGTCATCACAGACCCCCGAGCTGGGCTCCTCGACAGCTTCCCACTAGAGATCTATTCTTCACATTGCAGTGTACGTAGAGGGTGTCATGAATATACAGTCAGGCCGTGGAGAATTATAAGAGGGAAAAACATCCTGTTTCCTCAACACACACATTTTAAGTGGGAAAGAAAGAGATGGCATAGCGCTGCGTGCCAAGGCGTGTCCAGCTCTCTGTGACACCAAACCGCAAAGGCAAAAAGACCCACCCCCAGTACCTCCAGGATCGCCTGTGTGCCTGCTAAGTCGCTTCAGTCGTGTCTGACTCTTTGCGACCCCATGGACTGCAGCCCGCCAGGCTCCTCTGTCCATGGGATTCTCCAGGCAAGAATAGTGGAGTTGGGTTGTCAGGCCCTTCACCAGGGGATCTTCCCGACCCAGGGATCGAACTGGAGTCTTCTGCCCTGGCAGATGGGTTCTTTACCACGGGGCCACCTGTGAAGCTCTTTCATTGAATGAGTTCTCCTTTTTACGTCCACACGGCAAAGAACAAAAGACCCACCCCGCCAGTACCTCCGATATTCCTCCTGACTCTTTCGTGAAATCCCCGAATCAGGGTAAATGCCACCTTCCCGCCTGGGCAGCGGGTGTGCTTTTCAGAGAGGGTTCTGGAAGGTGCCATGAGCCCCAGGGTCTCCCAAGGCGGCCTCTTTGTTCACCTACGTTACTGGAGAGGCAGCTCTGCTTTGCTCAGCCCCTGCCTCCCCGAGTGGACGCTCAGGTCCTCCTCAGGTGCCCAGGTCGGTGACAGGGAGGCTCCAGGTTTGCACTCACCGTCCCCCTTGGCCCGGCCAGGCTCCCGAGAGCGAGGTTGGGCGGGTCATTCTCTGTCCCATGTGGCTGAGCTGAGCTCTCACGCATGCTTCCTGACACCCCTGCCTCTATAGCTGGGGGGCACCTGTTCCTCTTTCTCCCCACCATCTGTGCACCGCAAGAGGCAAATGAAAAGACGCTCAGCAAAAAAAAAAAAAAAAAAGAAAAGACGCTCAGCATCACTAATTATCAGAGAAAGGGAAATCAAAAATACAGTGAGGTATCAGCTCACACCAGTCAGAATGGTCATCAATGAAAAAAAGTTCTACAAACGATATTAAAAAGCAGAGACATTACTTTGCCAATAAATGTCCATCTAGTCAAGACTACGGTTTTTCCAGTGGTCATGTATGGATGTGAGAGTTGGACTATAAAGAAAGCTGAGCACTGAAGAATTGATGCTTTTGAACCGTGGTGTTGGAGAAGACTCTTGAGAGTCCCTTGGACTGCAAGGAGATCCAACCAGTCCATCCTGAAGGAAATTGGTCCTGAATATGTATTGGAAGGACTGATGCTGAAGCTGAAACTCCAATACTTTGGCCACCTGATGCGAAGAAGTGACTCACTGGAAAAGACCCTGATGCTATGAATGACTGAAGGCAGGAGGAGAAGGGGACGACAGAGGATGAGATGGTTGGATGGCATCACTGATTCAATGGACATAAGTTTGAGTAAGCTCTGGGAGTTGGTGATGGACAGGGAGCCCTGGCGTGCTGCAGTCCGTGGGGTCACAAAGAGTCGGACACGACTGAGCGACTGAACTGAACTGAACTAATGATAAATGCTGGAGAGGGTGTGGAGAGAAGGGAACCCTCTTGCACTAGAACTAACATATGATACAGCAATGTCACTGCTGGGCATATACCCTGAGAAAATCATAACTCAAAAAAAAAAAAAATCCACATGCACCTAAGTGTTCATTGCAGCACTATTTACAGTAATAACATGGAAGCAACCTAAGTGTCCATCGACAGATGAATGGATAAAGATGTGGTACACACACACACATACACACACAATGGAAGATTACTCAGCCATGAAAAGGAACGCGCCTGAGTCTGCTGCAGCGTGGAGGATGAACCTAGCGTCTGTCGTACAGAGTGAAGGAGGTCAGAAAGAGAAAATCAGATATCGTGCACATTAACGCCTGCATAGGGAATCTGGAAAGATGGGTCCTGAGGAACCTGTTTGCAGGGCAGGAAGAGAGGTGCAGACGGAGAGAAGGGACAGGTGGGCACAGCGGGCGAAGGAGAAGGTAGGGTGAATCGGGAGAGGAGCAGTAACATGCATACAAGATCGTGTGTGGAATAGACAGAGAGAGGGCAGCCCAGGTCTAGCCCAGGCTCGGTGATGACCTAGAGGGGTGGATGGGGCTGGGAGGGAGGCTTAAGAGGAAGGAGATACATGGATACTTATAGCTGACTCACGTTGTTGTACATCAGAAACCAACACAGCGTTATGTAAAGCAATTATATTCCAAAAAAAGTAAACCCAACTGGAGCTAACTAAGAAAGGAAAAGTGCAAGTTGCTCACTCGTGCCTGACTCTGCGACTCCCACGGACTGTATCCCACCAGGCTCCTCTGTCCACGGGGATTCTCCAGGCAAGAGCACCGGAGTGGGTTGCCACGCCCTCCTCCAAACCAAGGAAAAGCTGGTGCTAGAAGCAGAATCCCGGCCAGGTGGAGGAAGGTGCATGATGGTCTCGGGTGGGGGCGTGGCCCAGGGACACGCTATGATGGAACAAGGGACAGAGGACACCAAGGACGAATGCAAATGGGGTCTCTTCACTGGAGGGACACGCCTTCCATCCGAGGCAGAGTCCTTTCAGAATGAAAAGCCCCGTGGTGTTCCCCCGCTGGCTTTCTCCGGCAAATTCCTCATTAAATCATTAGGGAAGTCTCTGGCGTCCAACGCGGAGCCTATCAAAGAGGTCAGTAATCTGCCTGCGCCCAGCGCCTCTTCTCACGACTGGAAAACGTCCAGCGTGTGTGAGATCAGCAGAGAACATACAGCTGTCTCCAATGTAACAGCACTGGTCACTTCCTGGGTTATCTACACGGCAGATGGAGGGGGAAAAAAAAAAAAACAAACCAACCCTCTGAACAGAATGCAAGCCTGAAGGACACAGCTGTGCTTGAGAGGGATGGAAAGACAGAGGAAAAGGGAGGTACGTTCACAGAGACTCCAGGGCTGGAATAGAGACGCAGATTTGTGGATACAGCGGGGCAAGGACAGGCTGGAATGGACCAAGAGGAACAGTGACATATATATATACCCCACATGTGTAAAATAGACAGCGCGACTGGGAAGCTTCTGGATAACATAAGGAGCTCATCTCGGTGCTCTGCGATGACCTAGAGGGGTGGTCATCACGTTTAGTTCCCTGCGTCGCCATGAATCTGTTTGGACATCCAAGCAGATGGGTTGATTTGGATGAACCGAAGCGGTCTTTGCAGCACTCCAGCCTGCCAAGTAGAGACCGTCGTATGGACCCTTGTTATGTGCGCTGAATTTTGTCCTTCCACCATCAATTCCTATGTTGGAGTTGGGACACCGTCCCCCCCCCCCCCCCCCGCAGAGGCTCAGAATGCAGCTGTGCTTGGAGACGGTCTTTAAAGAGGGGATGAAGGTTAAAAAATGAGGTCTACGAGGGTGTGTCCTGATCCCAGAGGACCGTGGTTCTGATGAGAAGAGGAGATGGGGACATCAGACACATGGACGGATGGCCGCGTGAGGAGACGGCCGTTGATGCGCCGAAGAGGATTCAGGGGGAACCAGTCCTGCTGTCATGCTGCTCCTGTACTTCCAACCCCCCAAACAGTCAGAAAAGAGGTTGGCTGCTCCAGCCGCCCATGTAGGGCGCTCAGTGATGGCAGACGGGGCTGACTCATAGAGATCACAGCTCTAGGTTCGACACAAACCAACACACGCCGAGCTCAGACCAAAGTCCAGTGACCTTCCAAGCCAGTGGGAGGATGCGGGGGCGGGGGGGACTTCCCCTCACCTTCCCTTCCTGCAAGCCCCACGTGCCTTGCCGATGACTTCTGTACCAAACCTCACGGGGATAAGGCAAGAGGTTCCTTTGCGGAATATTTCTAAGCCTCAGGGTTTCTCGTCAGTGTTCAGTTGATAAATCACATCTGATGCTTTGCAACCCCATGGACTGTAGCCTGCCAGCCTCCTCAGTCCATGGGATTCTCCAGGCAAGAATAGTGGAGTGGGTTGCCACGCCCTTCTCCAGGGGATCTTCCCAACCCAGGGATAGAATCCGCTTCTCTTGCACTGGCAGGCAGATTCTTTACTTCCAAGACACCTGGGAAGCCCTAAGAACCGGTTAGAAATGCTACGTGTTTCCACTGCTGCTTTAAAAAAAAAAAAAACCTCACACCCTTGTTGTTCATTTCTTACTCCCCCGGCCCTGTAATGGGATACACCCATCGATAAATTCTCTGGAGCCCTTTCCCATCCCATCTACCCGTCGTCCTGAGAGTCTCTGGTTCTACGTGGACTTCTTACACTAAAGGAACTCCCCCTATCCACCTACCAGCCCCAGTTAGAACGCCCAAGGCATAAACACCGTACCTGTGGACAGCTTGGTCCAAGTCACGAAAGGCTTGGGTTTCCCCGTGGCCTCACAGGGGAACATGACGTCCGTCTCCGCGGTGACGGTCACGGTCTGCGGGGATTTGGTGATGATCTGCGGCTTTTCCCCCAGCGTCCAGAATTTGGACGCAGGCGGCCCTCCGGCAGAGAAGAGCTTTGAGCTGCTGTGATGGAAGCTTCTGGAGGGCGGGACGGAAGACGTCGTGAAGGGGATGGAGCTCCGGGTGGAGGAGACTGGGGGGATGTTCCGTACGTTCGTGGAGGGGGGCGCTGCGGTCCTGGGGGCGTGCAAGACGGGAGGCGCTGGGGGCCCCAGGTCCATGTGGAAGGTGCTCTGAGCGTGGATCCGAGTGTAGGGACCTGTGTTGACCTTTCTGTCTCTCAACGCCGGGGCTGGAGAGCTGGGTCCCTGAGGTTTCGGAGTGCCTCCCAACTGGGGGAAAGACAGGGTCCTGTTGATAAAGAAAGGGAATCTTCCGCTGGGAAAAGGAGGCGCTCTCGAATTCGGAAGCTTGCCCACGGGGTCTCTTCTTAGATCAGGCAGGTGGTTATTTCCCAACGACCTGGAGTTGCCCTGGAATCGGTCAGTTCCCTGGCCGGTCGCCGGACCCGGAAGGCTAGGTTTGGACCCAGGCCATAAAACCACCACGGGAGTCGTCGGATAACTCGGTGATCTTGGAGTCGTCGCGTGCCCGCCCTCCGGCCAAGCCCTCGACGGGTACGCGGTGACTCCCGGTTTGCGGGTCAGGTGATGAGGGGGCTGGAAGGTGACTGAGTGTCTGAAGGGGCTTTGTGTGACTGCGTGCGGGGGTCTCACGGTTCCTCTCGGCGGGATCGGTGTGGCGGGAACTCCGGCTGGTTGGTGGAAAGCCGGGACCCTCCCAGCTTCGTTTGCACCATCTGGAGCACGGGGAAGCATGTTTTTCATTGTGCCATCAAACGCTTCCTGTCTTAACGCCTCCTCTGGAGTCAGGGTAAACTTGTCCTGCTTGGAAGAGGGCGTGGATAACTGGTCTGGCTTCGCCAGATGCCGAGTTACTTCGTTATTCACCAAAGGCGCTTTGGTTTCTGGGGTCCCCACGTAATGGAAGGAGACGTGGTCTCTGGAAGCTTTCCAGGCTGGGGACGTCCCTGAAGGAAGAGGTGGTGTGGGCTCTGTGGTGGTCTCTGCGGAGGATATGAGAGTCGTGGGTGGGAATGGCGATTCTGGCTGCTCCACCGGGCCGGGAGTGGACACGCGACCCTGGGGCCCGATTTCAGAAGGGACGGTAGCGTGAGCGGTTTCACGGCTTCTCTGATCATGGACGGTGGTTTCCGCCGGACTTGAGGACGCCTCTACTTTTAGGATGGGGAGAGTCGTCGAAGGAGCCGCCTGTTGGGGTTGAAACCGTGTAGAGACCCCCGCTGAAGGTAAAAACTCAGTAGGCAAACCTAGATCCGCTGCCTGTCTCACAGAGGGTGATCCTGTAAGCGCTTCCGAAGGGCTGGTAACAGGCGGGTCTGTCTGTTCCATCGCAGGCTGGCTTGCCCCTGGCGGATCCCAGCTCGTCGTTTCTGGAAAGGGAGACGTCAGAGACGCCTCCTTAAATCCTCTCGCGGGGGAGACCTTGGCCCCAGAAGGTGATACCGCGTGAGTGACTGAGGCTCCAGGGACCACACCGTCGGTTTGATAGTCCCCGAGGTCTGTGGCACCGTGGTTCTTCATTTCCTTTCCGTCTGACCCGGGCTCGCGTGTGACGGGAACGGCCTCTCGGAATCTGTCACGCGATAAATGTGTTTTGCTGATGCTAGCTGTGCTATAATCTTGCACGCTGGTTAGCTCCCGTGGGTCTCCAGTGGTGAAAGAGACGGTCGTAGGGGAAAGCGCAGCTTGGGAGCTGGGGGGAAAAGAGGTTTTATGCTTATCTTCTGGAGAAAGGCTGGGCTTGGACACAGAAGCCGCAGAGCTGAGGGTAGAAGCGATGTATCGGTGTCTGTTGGGTCTCTTGCCCTGTTTCCTGCGTGGGCTGCCCCTGGATACGGGTTCGGCATGCTCCTCCGTGTCCAAGCGTCCCGGGGTACCTACGGCGCTGGTAGCCCAGGTCGTAGGACCCAGAGAACTCGCCCCTTGGCTTGCAGTCTTCACTTCGGGGACCTGGGTCGGTGGAGTCGAGACAGTGTCTGTCGGGGCAAACGTCGTATGCGGGGTCTGTTTATGGCGGTGTCGGAATTTGTGGGGTCGGAATCGCCTCCTCCCATGGGGCCTCTTTCGAGAAGGGTGCGTGGTCAGAGCCGACGGTGAAGTGTCCTTTGGGGCTGGCGTGGTCACTAGTGCCGTGGCCGTGTCCTTGCCAAACACGACACCAAGCGTGGACTGCCCGGGACGCTTCAAATCAGTGACGCTGTTCACCACTTCTAGAGTCAAGTCAAGCGGAGTGATCGGGTCTACGGCTTGCCCATTTCCCTCAACGTGTCGGGAGTCCATGGGGTGTGTCCCGAGCGAACCCTCTTCCTGCAGTGTCTGAGAAGTCTCCTTTGTGCCCTCGGGAATCACTGGGTGGCCTGGGGTGCTTAAACCAGTTTTCACAAGCTGCGGGCTCTCTGTCTGTTCCTGGAGGCGCGTTTCAGCTGGGACGTCGGGGTCCCCTAAGGTGGGGTCTTCAAGCGGCTCAGATGTCCTGGCCTCGGCAACCCACGAGACGGGAGTTGGCGTGAAGTGTGCGGAGGCCTGCTCTTTCACGGTATGCTCAGCTGGTAGTGGATTTGTCCCCAGATCGGGGTAAAAGGAGGTCACAGTCTCAGACCCAGCCAAGGGTACGGCTTCCATCGGAGATTCATCCTCAGGGGATGTGGACTCCGGCGCGGACCCAACATCGAGGGTAGACCAGCTGTCTGTGGCTACCTTTTCACTGGTGGGCCCCTTGTGCTCCATTTCTAGGGCCTGCAGAGTAGAAAGTTCATAAAGTATAGATGACGGTGTCGTGGCTGGGGTCTGGCTGGAGTCAACCTCAGTGGGAGTTGTACCCAGGGTCTTCTCAGAAGAGTCTTCTTCAATATATTCTTCCACGGGTGTCCTTGTCACTCTGGATTCACTACCAATGATTCCGTCGTGGCCAGGCTGGAGCGGAACAGTCCTAGGGGAGGCGACAGCGCTGGAAACCTGCTCCTCCTCGCCAAATACGGACGTATCTCCCGAGGATTCTTCTGCGCTGCCTGTGGTCTGAATGGGCGCTGAGCCGGGAGCGACGGCAGGCAGAGGTGGAGTCACGTCCTGCCTCGTCAGCGAAGGCGAGCTGACCGTGATGACCTGCGGTCCTTCCGTTCCCTTCGGGAGAGTTCTCCCACGGACTCTGGCTAAGATGTCTGCCCAGCGTTCTGGATTAATCTGCTTGTTGGCCACGTTTATCCTCCGTCTGGACTCGAAGACCCTGCGGCCTTCGGCGACGTTGGTCTCCGGCTCCTTTGCGGGGTGCTTCCAGGGTTTCAGCTTTCTGCGCCCTTTCCTGGTCTTCGCACCTCTGCCGACGGCGTCGTCCGTTGCTCTGATTAACACCTCTTGGTCCTGCGGGTGGAGGACCGTCCTCGATGCGCTCTCCTCATCTCCCATGCCGGATCCGCCTTCATCCTCCACGATCCCGCCTCGCCCTCCCGAAAGAGTCCTGCCTCCTGGGCGCCCGCCTCTTTTCGGAGACCCGGCGGACCCCCTCTTGCTCACCTGGACCCCCACGGTGAAATGGTCCGCCCCTCGCTGGTTGACCGCCACGCATCTGTAGTAACCACTGTCACGGCCTTGAACCTTGGGGATGGAAAGAGTGCCGTCGGCCAGCACATAGGCGTGCGAGGCATTGGCCATCGCATTCAGCATCCTTTTGTGTGGAAGGATCCAGCTGATCTGGGCTTCCGGTACGGCCAACGCCGTGCAAGGCAGCGTCACGGGCTCCCCCGGGTTCTTGTGAACGGTCACCGTGAACGCGTCGGGAGGCTGAACTACCGGCGGCTGCACCAGGAGCCTGTAGAACATGCGGTCCGTCTCATCCCTCACCCGAGCGACGCACTGGTACAGACCAGCGTCCGACGGCTGCGTCGACCTGATCTTCAGCCAGCCGCTGGTGAGGACGGAGAACCTGCCGTCGCGGTCTTCCATCGGCGCTTTCACGACGGACCCGTCCGGGAGCACCCAGGAGATGGAGGGGCTCTCGGAAGCCCTGACGTTGCAGCTCAGCTGGCAGGGGCTCCCCTCCAGGACGGTCTGGGCTCTCTGCACGGCTTTGCCGGGCTCGATCATCACCCAGCTTCTGCTCCGAGACAGCCTCGCGTCCTTGGCGGACACGACCAGGGCGTGCCGAGACGAATAGGACAGCACCACCGCTTTGGCCGAGCTCAGACGCCGGTTGAGTTGCAGCTCAATGGACGGCTGCGTGACCCACTCCGGCTCGGCGAGGATGTGGGCCCTGACGCCCGTGTAGTACAGCGTGGCGTCGTCGTCGGCATCTTGCCTGTACTGGAAGCCGAGCCTGGGGTCTTTGCCGAGCGCGGGGTCCCGGTGGAGCTTCACGGGGACCTCGCTGTAGTAGGCGATCAGCTTCCAGAGCTTCTCGTAGTTCTGTCGCGTCATGGGACACTCGAAGTCCAAGGCGACCGTGGCGTTGATCTCTATCTCCTGGGGGTCCGTCTGGTTCAGGTGGAGCCTGGACACGTCCGTGGGCTTCTTGATGTCGCAGACCAGGTGGACCGTGTTTCCGTGCTCGTCGCTCATGTTCACGGACACGTTCCACGCGGGGAACTGGAACCCGTCCGGGGAGAAGGGGTGCCGGGCATCCTCGTTCTCATCCTGATCTTCCTCGCTGCTCCGGCTCCCGTTCCGTCTCAGCGGGGACTCGATAGAAGGCTTCTGACAGGGGACGTCCTGCAGCTTCTGCAGCTCCTGTTGCTGCCACTTCTTGGGACTGAAGCACGTGGAACAGAGCTGACCCCCTTCGTACGCTTTGTCCTTCTTGCACTTCAGGACCCCTGAAACACAGCATCAGACAAACGTGCTCTAAGTCAACGGCTCCAAGAACGGACAGAGGATGAAGTCTCTGTTTGCATCTTTATCGCCTGGGTGCATCTCAACCAAGATTCAACACCTTGCCTACCTGTGTCCGTGATGTCGCCTAGGAGCTTATATCCATTTAACCCCATTGTGTGGTAACGAACCAGGGTCTGGGAAGTTCCTGACAGGGAGCAATGAGTACTTTTTAAAACGATACTCTTAGGAACTTCCTTGGTGATCCAGTGGCTAAGACTCCAAGTTCCCGGCGCAGGGGGCTGGGGTTCCATCCCTGGTCAGGGAACTAGACCCCACATGCGGCAAGGAAAAGGTATTTTTAAGTTGACAAAGAATCTCTCTTCCTACATATGGTGCAATTTTCCTTTTGTGAAGGTCCAGGAGAACCTACGTAAGTCTCTGCAACGCATGAACGTATTTCCAGGCCCTAGAACCAACTGTGGGCTTTCCTGGCGGCTCAGAGGGTAAAGGGTCTGCCTTCCATGCAGGAGACCGGGGTTCGATCCCTGGGTCGGGAAGACCCCCTGGAGGAGAGCATGGCAACCCACTCCAGTGTTCTTGCCTGGAGAATCCCACGGACAGAGGAGCCTGGCAGGCTACGGTCCACGGGGTCTCAGAGAGTCAGACACGACTGAGTGACTAACAGTTCAGGACCAATTGTTGGCATGACTTGCATCATGCTGACCTTTCGTAACTACATTATCTTTTGCGACAATTACTCATCTTAGGCAGTATTTTCTTTTTTTGGATTCACTTTCTTACTCTTGGCTTCCTGGACACTCAGTCCTCCAGAATTTTTCCTTCTCTGGCCAGCACTGGCTCTTTCAGCGCTTCTCTGCCCAGCTCATTATGCATGAACTATTCCTGGACTCCGTCTAAGCTCCCTCCCTTCTTGCCCTGCCCTGTCGTGGAGGGTCTCGCCCACGGGGGTGGTTTCAATTACCATCTACTGGCCGACAACCAGTTCCGTCTCTGCTTCTCCAGCCCAAACCCATCCCGACGCCCTACTTGACAAGTCCATCAGATGGTACAAAGGCTCCCCAGACTGATGTCTACAGAATCAAATTATATTTTCTTCCTGCTCAACATCTCACGGCTTTTCTGTACTCATCCGTGCCAAGTCGCTTCAGTCGTGTCCGACTCTTTGTGACCCCGTGGACTGTAGCCTCACCAGGCTCCTCTGTCCATGGGGATTCTCCAGGCAAGAAGACTGGAGTGGGTAGCCATGCCCTCCTCCATGGGATCTTCCCGACCCAGCGGTCGAACCTGGGTCTCCCTCACTGCAGGCGGACACCTGACCGTCTGGGCCGCCTGCGCGGTTCCTACCTTTGGATCTGGCGTCCCACTCCAGAAGCCAGGCCATGTCGCAGTCACAGGCCCACGGGTTGCCGTGCAGGTAGAGGTTCTCTAGAAGCGGCATGTTCTGCAGCATGCCGGCGGGGAGACGGCTGAGGGCGTTCTCGGCCAGGTAGAGGTGTCTCACGGTGGAGAGCTGGAAGTGGCCCAGGAAGGCGAAGGTGGAGAAGGTGGCGGGGTGCAGCTGCCGAAGCAGGTTCCCCTCTAAGTGGACGAGCCTCAGAGAGGTCAAGCCTCTGAACGCTTCCGGGTGGATGAACTCGATCCGGTTGTGGTCCATGTGCAGCCTCACCAGGTTCCAGAGCCCCCGCAGGGTCTCGCCCGTGATGACGCGAAGCTTATTGTAGCTGAGCTTGAAAACCTACAAAGACCGGAAGCGGGAAAATGTCGGTCAGTCGCGTCCGGCTCTGTGTGACCCCAGGGGCTATATGGTCCAGGGAATTCTCCAGGCTTGAATACTGGCATGGGGTAGCCTTTCCCTTCTCCAGGGGAATCTTCCCAACCCCAGGGATCGAACCCAGGTGTCCCGAATTTCAGGCAGATTCTTTTATCAGCTGAGCCACAAGGGAAGCCCTGTTTATAATTAAAAACAAAAACACCATAAGAAGGAACAGAAAGCAGAACAAAGGGCAGGGAAGGAAAGACATGAAGCTTGATTTGTTCATGTTTAAAAACAGTGCCGGTTTCATTCATCGTGAAGAAAAGCATCTTAAAGTTTTCCCTCTCTCCGCGGCTGGTGATAAGAGGTTGCAACCAGGGTCGGTCATATATGTCCAGTCTGTTTGTTTCCAGTAGCTAGGCGTGACCGACTCTATGACCCTATGGCCTGTAGCCCACCAGGCTCCTCTGTCCATGGGGTTCTCCAGGCAAGAAGACTGGAGTGGGCTGCCACGCCCTCCTCCAGGGCATCTTCCCGGCCCAGGGATCAAACCCGTGTCTCCCGCGTTGGCAGGGGGATTCTTTGCCACGGAGCCACCTGGGAAGCCGCCACGCCCGGCTTACCTGGAGCGAGATGAGGTCTCTCAGAGCCCCGTCGGGGATGCTGGGGATATCGTTGCCGTGGATCATGAGCAGCTCCAGCTTCGTCAGTCCGGCGAACGACGTTTCCGATAAAGCCTGTATGCTATTAAACCTAGAAAAGAAGAAAGAAAAAAAAAACTGAAATGGAAAGTCATTTCTGAAAAAAAAGAAAAATCTTTGGGGCTGTCCCAACAGGAAAGAGCAGCTCTTTCTTTCAAAACAGGAAAGAGGCACTCTTTTTCTTTCAGTGATGAATGAGAACCCGAGAAAAACATCTGTGTGGGAATGAAAATCAGGAGCGCTCTGCCAATAATCGGTCATTCCCCGAGGGTTTCCCACCCTTTGCAGACTGCTAACAGGCAACTCAGACCCTGAGTTCTATCTGTAGCAGACACTGCGGTTGTCTCTTTTCTTTTCTCCCAACAAAATGCACCGTGCCAGCCTCCTTTTCTCCTTTGAGGTTGGACTTCCCTGGCGGCTCAGACGGTGAAGAAGCCGCCTGCCGTGCAGGAGACCCGGGTTCGATCCCTGGGTGGGGAAGACCCCCTGGAAGAGGGCATGGCAGCCCACTCCAGTGCTCCGGCCTGGAGAATCCCATGGACGGAGGAGCCTGGCGGGCTACCGTCCACGGAGTTACAAGAGTGGGACATGACTGAGCGACTAACACTCTGCAGAAACAGTGCTGTGAGATGACGACTGATATTCTTCTACTATGTGCAGTTAATGTTTTTTTTTTAGTTTTTCACTTGGAGGATCACTGCTTTACAATATTGTATTGGTTTCTGCCATACATCAACATGAACCAGACAATGAAAACGTGGCCCCTTGAATCAACTTACAAATTAAGCCAGATGGAAGTCCTATGTGTAGATGCCATGAAACCCGTCCTTGTTTTTTTTTATTCTTTTTATTTTTTCTTTACTATGACACAAAACCATCTCAAGATACTATTGGCGGAAGGAGGAAAAGAGTCATTTTGATATCTGTCTTTGCTTCCAATGGCAAAGCGTTTGTGTGCTCAGACGCCCAGCCGTTGTCCCAGTCTGCAACTCTACGGACTGTATGTAGCCCGCCAGGCTCCTGTGTCCATGGGATGCCCCAGGCAAGAAGACTGGGGTGGGTGGCCATGCCCGCCTGCAAGGGATCTGCCCGACCCAGGGAATCAACCTGCCTCTCTTGTGTTTCCTTCAGTGCAGGCAGATTCGTTACCTCTGAGCCAGCGGGGAAGCCCAAGAGACAAAAGTGATCACAGATCAACTCTGTTTCCCTTCCTGCAAACGCGCAGAGCCCATTCGACCCTGATTCAAAGCAGCTTCAGCTCTTCTTCTGCATAAACTGGAAGACCGTGAAAAGGAAACGGGTTTTTTAAATTGTAAAACAATTTAAAGATTATAAAAAGGAAAAACAATTTAAAGATTATAAAAAGGAAACGCTTACTGTTCCCTCTTCTGGCAAAGCCAATGTCTTTCCCCTGTGGAGTGATCATCATCGTGGTTGGATTTTTTTTTCAGACAGTCAAGTTTGCCAAGCTTCTTCTTTTTTTTTGGGAGAGAGCTATTTCATGGTCCATTGCTATGGATTTTTGAAGTGTTTATTTCACTGTCTTAACTGCCCTCTTCTACTGGACTTTCTAATCGGTAAAGGCAAGAATTTTTGAGGCTCTATACTCAAAGAGGACTTTGTCTTACCGGTCATTTGTCTTACTAAAATGTCTATTCAGCAAACCCTAAACAGTTTCATTGTTTTATAGGTGGGAGGAAGTAGCTAGCACATTTTGCTGAAGAACCCCAAATGACTGTTTACCATTAGAATTGTGCAAATCACGGTTTAGTATGAAAAGTTCATGAGTACCTATAATTCATGGAAATTGACACTTAGCTATAGAAAGTGTATATGGGTACAGAAGAAAATTGAAACATAAAAATTCTACCTGAAATGCTGCACTAAAAATATCTCTTTAGGGGACTTCCCTGGTGGTCCCACGTGGTGCTAGTGGAAAAGAACCCACCTGCCAATGCAGGAGATGAAAGAGACGGGGGTTCCGTCCCCTGGGCCGGGAAGATCCCCCGGAGGACGGCATGGCAACCCACTCCAGTGTTCTTGCCTGGAGAATCACATGGACAGAGGAGCCTGGTGGGCTACAGTCCACGGGGCCGCAGAGAGTCGGACAAGACTGAGCGACTAACACTTGTACTTTCTGATGGTCTACTGGTTAGTACTTCATGCTCCTTCCCAACGCAGGGGGCCCAGGTTCAACCCCTGTTCTGGGAAGTAGATACCACATGCCTCTACTAGGAGTTGGCATGACACAGCTAAAGCTTCTACATGTTGCAGCTCAGGCCTGATGCAGCCACATCAATAAATACATTAAAAAAAGACTGTTTAAAGGAGGTTGAAATTTTAAATAGGCAAAACCTGAAGGAACTCTTATTTCATCAAAGTCACGATTGCATCATACTGATAATTTACAGGGTCAAAGATGTGTCTCACTTATTCTGTTTATTATTTTGTGACAACTGCTGAAACCTATTTAAATACTATTAGCATACTTATGCACGCGTCATATATTTTGCATCTGCGTGTATTGAAGAACAGTTATCAACGGAAATTTATCAAGGAGCTGAAGCTGTCTCTGATGGTTCCTAATCAAGCTTTGTGACAGAGATTGGTGCTGATGAATTAACTCAGATACTAGCCCCAAAGGACCACATGTAGTAGAGTTATAAATGTCCTCTTGATTCGGGCCACATCATGCAAGACACGGTGGCCCCCACAAGAGTATACACTCGCAGTCAGGTACGTGCGCGCACACACCCGTACACGAAAGACGAAACCCGCCCCCGCCGGCTGGCGAGGAGGCTGAAGATCGCTCGAAGGAATGTGATACAAACCCCAGATTGATTCTTTCCACATGTGGAGAAATCCCAGCGGGCACGGAAGCCAGCGAGCGGAACGTGCAGTGGACTTCGCTGGGGACGTAGCAGGCGCAGGGGTGGGGGCAGGCCAGCGCCACGTGGGGGCGTCCCCAGAGCAGAATCAGCACCGCGGAGAGAGCTAGCCACCGCGCCCACGTCGTCCGCATCGCGTCCGGCGGGGTCATCCCGGCGCACCTGTTGGGGAGCCACGCAGAGCCGGGTGTCAGACAGCCCTTCCGGACCGCCAGCTGGTTATTTATTTATTTATTTTTTACCTGCATCGTGCATCAGGGTGCTAAGCTTCCCAAGGCGTCGGCACGGGATATCTGGGTGACGCAAAGCGTGTGCGTGGAGCAACACAAAAATTAAAAAAAAATTTTTCTCAGTTTAATGCAACTGTAGAAGACAGCCTTCACTCCTGACATCGATCTGACGACTCGGAAATGTCGCTGGGTTGTAAGAGAGGGTATGAAATTGACAGGCCCCGTGGAGTGGGTAGCTGTTCCCTTCTCCAGGGGGATCTTCCCAACTCAGGGATCAAACCCAGGTCTCCCTCATGGCAGGCGGATTCTTTACCAGCTGAGCTACCAGGGAAGCCCAAGAATACTGGAGTGGGTAGCCTATCCCTTCTCCAGGGGATTTTTCTGATCCAGGAAGCCAACCAGGGTCTCCTGCCTTGCAGGCGGATTCTTTATTGGCTGAGCTACCAGGGAAGCCCTGTATATATCGACAAATACACAAATGGGTATAAATGTATGAAAGGCGAAAGGAAAGGGTTAGTCAGTCGTGTCCGACTCTTTGTGACCCCATGGACTGCAGCCCGCCAGGCTCCTCCGTCCATGGGATTCTCCAGCAAGACTACTGGAGTGGGTTCCCATTTCCTTCTCCAGGGAATCTTCCTGACCCAGGGGTCAAACCCAGATCTCCTGCATTGCAGGCAGATTCTTTAGTGTCTGAGCCACCAGGGAAATCTTATATGCATAAATATGTATTTGTAAAGATGTATATATGATGTATATATATACACAAATATACAAACATACACATATGTAAATATGTATTTGTGCAAATGCATAATATAAGGGCTTCCCAGGTGACTCAGTGGTAAAGAACCTGCCTGCCAATGAAGGAAAGTCAGGAGACACACGTGTCAATCCCTGGGTCAAGAAGATCCCCTGGAGGAGAAAATGGCAACCCACTCCAGTATTCTTGCCTGGAGGATCCCATGGACAGAGGAGCCTGGTGCGGTACAGTCCATGGGGTCCCAAAAGAGTTGGACATGACTTAGCAACTAAACAAGGATGTATATATACACACAAGTATATACTTGTATAAATGTGTATATATATATATATATATATATATATATTTGTGCTTATATAGAGAGATGAGAAGTTCCATGGACAGATGAGCCTGGTGGGCTATACAGACCATGGGCTTGCAAAGAGTCAGACACGACAGAGCGACTAACATCCACACATATAGGGATGACAGATACATTCATGTTTCAATGCATAAAAGTAACTGTTATCTGTCCACCTCTGATGTTTATCTCGAGCCGTAACATACTGTATATAACTGAATAACAAGCTTCTCAGGAAATCCATTATGACCAGAAGTATTTCCTTCTTTTCATGGCATTCCTTAAAGTTTTACTCATACCGTCTTCAAGCGCTTACAGAGATGTTCACTAAAGCAGAATGTATTCCATTTATTCGGGTGTGTCTCCTCTCAATTTTTTTTTCCCCCTTGGAAGAACCAAAATGTTGAAAGGGCAAAACATCAGTCTTCACCAGGGAGCACATTTGGAGAAACCTCTGAAAAATCTGCCATGAGAGAAAGAGGCAAGGAATATAGCCTGATGAAGAATCTTGAGACAAACAAAAAAGATCAGTAAAACAAAAAAAAGACAGAGAGGAAGGAAGGAGAAAGGAGAGGAAAGAGGGGAGGTCAGAAAGAAAAAAGGGAAAGAGAAAAAAGGAAGGAAAAGATCTGATAAAATAATTAGGTTGCACCAGCCGCAACCTCCTTCAGAAAGTCAGTGACTGTTTCTTCATGCATCAGTCATCAAATCACAGTTCCGCCAACTGTTGCATGAAGTTTATGGATCAGTAAGTCACCACAGAGGGAAGGTGGAGAAACACGATTAGAGAAACGCGCCCGTTCCCGACGGCTCCCTGCTCTGCGCGAACCCTGACTTCTGATCATAAACACTCCATTTGCTCCCGCGCTGTAGCGACACCCCAGATGCACAGCGTCTCCCGGCCTTTAGGGGACCTGGGAACAGCCGTCTTCTGAAGCCCTGACGCGTTTTGTTTTTCAGCTGCTCCTAAACAGCTGACGGTGCAAGCAGCTTTGCACACACCGACTCCAGGCGCCTCCTTTCCGCCTTGGAACCGACCGGCTTCTGCAGAGCTTTTTTCGGTTCTCCAGGCCCCTCACCCGCGCGCTTGACCCTCCACACAGGCTCATGTCCAAGCCCTGTGTCCGCAGGCGGACCTGGAACACGGCGTCCCGAAGCCTCGCTCCCCGCGCTCGGTTTTCCACCCAGCCCACCCGCAGAAGACCTCAGGGACGCGCTCCCCCCTCCAAGGGGAACCCCAATCCCGAGGCCTCGCGGGGAAGCCGCCCCGAGCCCGCACGATCTCCGGGCACGCCCGGCGAACCCCGGGAAGCTGGACTTGGGGCGCGAGGCGGTCGGCTGACGTCCCCCCGGCGGGGGAAGAGTCTGGAGGGGCCGGGCGCGCGGCCTTGCGCCCCTGGCCGGCTTCCAGCGCGCGCTCCGGACGCGCCCGGGCAGGCTGCGCCGTAACTTCACGAACTAGCTTTCCCGGAGCGCAGCTCGGGTTACCCCGAGGGTCTCCAAGGCCGGAGACTCGGACACCAAAGGGCGTATCTCCCCCACACCATGACTTCCCCAGCTTGCGCGCGGCTCAGAGACCCCTCCGACCCCCGCCCCCCTCGCCGTCCCGCGGCAGGGAAAGGGGGTTGCTTTGCGTCTCCCCGCTATGCAAGGCAAAAGAAGGCTGTGGGCGGGGGTTAGGGGTGGAGAGTCTAAGGGATCTGGAGACACTGGGGAGACAGCCCCACCACTGCGGCTTGCCCCTCGCCACCAACGCAGGAGCGCAACCGGTTACACTTACACTTGAGGGTCCGGTCGGGGGCTCCCAGGAAACCAGGGATGGAGCGGGGAGCGGGCACTTTGGAAAGGGGACCTTAATCTACTCTGTGCATCTTCCCAGATGATTTTGCTCAGCTTCTGTGTGGGATGGTGCTGTGCTGGGCTTAGTCGCTCAGCCGTGTCCGACTTTTGGCGACCTCGTGGAATTCCATGGAATTCTCCCAGGCCAGGATACTGGAGTGGGTTGCCATTGCCTTCTCCAGGGGGATCCTCCCCACCCAGGGATCGAACCGAGGTTCTCCCGCATGGCGGGCAGATTCTTTCACCCGCTGAACCACCAGGGAAGCCCGTTCTCGACGGCGGCTGGACCCTTAACGGAGCGCCAAGAAACAGTTCCAGAAGTCTTCTTTGCCCTCGCCCCCTGCTCCCACCAACGCAACACCGGTCCCCTTTTCAACTCTCTCCACCCCTTGCAGACAGAGCCCCCCCCGCCCCTCCCCAGCCACCGCCGGGGGCGCCCAGGCAGCCCTCGGTCCTCACCTGTCCGTCGGAAGCGGCGACCCACGGGAGCGGTGCGCCCAGAACATCCACCGGGCCGGGGCGCGCGAGTCACCGCCGAGGGTCGGCCGGGGCCATGTCCTGCTTCCCAGGGGGCGAGGCGCGGCGGCTCGGCTTCCCAGCGCGGCGCCCTTTTATTCCCGTCGCCGAGAGCCTTCCCCGAGAGCACGCCTCGGCCCAGCCCCACCCTGCCCCACCCCGGGGAGACGGGGCGCGGGGGACCCTGGCCGCGCCGCCGCCGCGCGCTCAGCCGTCCTCTCGGCTCCGCATGGCGCCGCGGCCCGAGTGGGCACGCCTCGCCCACGCCGGCGGGGCGAACCGCTGGGGCCCCGCGCACACACGGCCGGCTGGGCGAAGCTAGAGGGACTGCTGCGGGGGTCGGGGTGAAGTATCCAGGCCCCCTCACTCCCGAGAGGAACTCCGGGGGGTACCCGAGAGACGGAGAGAAACCCGGGAGCGAACAGCTCCCGAGGTCTGCGCCCTGAGCGCCCTTCCCAGCAAGAGTTGGAGGAAGACTGTCTTTCTTTTCAGGGCGGGGGAAGAGACAAGGAATACGACTTGCGCTCCCCCAGGCGGGCTAGAGTTTTCTCTGGCGGCGCCTCCGGACCCCGAGCGCAGGCTGCAGGCAGCCGGGGGCGCCCGCCGGCATCTCCGGAGGAGCCGCAGGCGAGGCTGCAACCGGAGCCCCGGGCCACGCCCTCCCGCCTCTCCTCTGGCTCCTGGCAGCCACCAACCCTCCTCCAGCCTGAATCCTCCTGCCAAAACAAGAAAAAAAAGAGGTGGAATGCTTTCTTTTTTTTTTTCCCTCGTCCCCCTTTGGAAAGCCTGAAGGGGCTGCGCCGGGATGAGCGCTTTGGGGAGCCCCAAGGTACTGGCTGGGGCAAGTGAGAGGTTGGACTGGAGGGGAGGGCTGGGGAAATGGAGGCTGCAGAAGACCCTGCTGTCTAACGCAGAAGGGGAAGCGGGGAGAGATGGACCTGTGTTGGTTTCCAGGAGGAAGGAGAACTGGGAAAAAAGGGCAAGAGGTCAGGTGAGCACTGTCACCAGTGAGGCTACCTGGGCAGATGTAAGACAGGATACGGGCAGTCACTGGGAAGACAGAAAGACAGGCTGAGCGCTGCAGAACGGATGCCTTCCAACTGTGGTGCTCGAGAAGGCTCTGGAGAGTCCCTGGGACCGCAAGGAGATCCAACCGGTCCATCCTAAAGGAAATCTGTCCTGAATATTCATCGGAAGGACTGACGCTGAAACTCCAATCCTTTGGCCACCTGATGTGAAGAGTCGATGTACTAGAAAAGACCCTGATGCTGGGAAAGATTGAGGGCAGGAGGAGAAGGGGACGACAGAGGACGAGATGGTTGGATGGCATCACCGACTCAATGGACACGAGTTTGAGTGAACTCCGGGAGCTGGCGATGGACAGGGAGGCCTGGCATGCTGCGGTCCACGGGATCGCAAAGAGTCGGACACGACTGAGCAACGACATGACACTCTATGGACCATTCACATTGCTGCAGATGGCATTCTTTTTCATGGCTGAGTAATATTGCATTGCATACATGCGCCACAGGTTTTAAACATAAAGCACTGGGTGTGGGCTCAGAAAGCAGTGAAGAGCATTGGGATCGGGAAAGAGGTGATATGGTAGCGGAGTCATACCGTGTAGTTGAACTCGTTTTTTTCCATCCGAGAGGGGAGGGTGTATAATCAGGCTACTTTAGCCGATTAATTTGTATTGAAGCATAGTTGCTTTATTGGATTGGAGTAAAGCTTCCGATGGACAGGGAAGCCTGGCGTGCCACAGTCCACGGGGTCCCAAAGAGTCCCAAAGAGTCAGACACAGCTGAACAACTAACACACACATTAGTCACTTTTGGGCTTCCCAGGTGGCAAAAGTGCTAAAGGACCTGCCTGTCAGCTTCTTTAAAGACTCCAGGTTCTTTCTGGACTGTTACGGAGACTTAGCCCTAGGTTCGATCCCTGGAGCGGGAAGATCCCCCAGAGAAGGGCATGGCAGCCCACTCCAGTATTCCTGCCTGGAGAAGCCCCAGGGACACAGGAGCCCGGCGGGCTACAGTCCGGGAGGTCACCAAGAGTCAGACACGACTTGAAGCGGCTTAGCACACATCACCACATATCCACCCGTCCCTCTGTGGATGGAATATGACTCAGCAGTCCCACTCCTGGGCATCCACCCAGTGGGGAAAAAAAAAGAAGCTTAATTAAAAAAGATACACGGACCCCGATGCTCACTGCAGCCGTGTTCACAACAGACAAGACAAGGAATCAATGGTGAAGACCCTGGGGTTGCAAAGACTCGGACAGGACTGAGTGATTTTCTGTTCTGTTGTTTCACAGGGGTTGTAAAAGTGAATCCTGCCTCCACGACTGGTACTCACTCTCCATCAACAGAAAGACAACTGACCTGCAATATTCTGGGGTGAGTGGAGACAAAAGGGGCTGAAAAAAAAAAAAACTCTGCACAGAAAATGTGTGCTTGCCCAAGCCGGGGAATCCCAGGGGTGGACTGGTATCTTGATGGGGAGGCGGCATCTCTATTTGAGCAGAGAGAGACTTTGAGGAATGTTGCATGTGAAACCTGCCCCCCGGTCTGTCTAGGGGGAAGCCTTCAATGCAAATCCAAGCTACTGGCAGGCGCTCTGAGAAAGAGGGGTTATTTCTGTGTCTCTTCGTTACTTCATACCACAGTCGGTGGAAGTCTCCCGTTCCGTGGCGTTCACTCAAGTGTTTCCAGATTTTTCTCAACTGCGTATTTCAAAATAGAAAAGAAGAAGGACCCATCAGAGGGAACCTCCCAGATCTCCCGAGCTCAGTTGAATTATTTCTGCCAAACAGGCTGGAGAAATTTCTGGTCAGCCCGGAGGGTAGCCGCGCCCGCACGTGGACATGAGCTCAGTGACCCATCATCGCGGGGTTGGGGTGGGGGTGGGTTATGCGAAAAGGGATTTCTGGACAAAATGGAAACTATTTTGCCGTAAGTGCTCAGTCCCCGTCTGACTCTTTGCGACCCCATGGACTGTAGCCCGCCAGGCCCCTCTGTCCTTGGGGATTCTCCAGATAAGAAGACTGGAGTGGGTTGCCATGCCTTCCTCCAGGGGATCTTCCAGACTCAGGGATCGAAGCTGCGTCTCCTCTGTCACCGCAGGTGGATTTTTTCACCCGTTGAGCCATCGGCGAAGCTGGTGAACTGGGATGAGCAGTCTCACTTATGGATGAGCTTGCAGAGTCATCCACGTCACTCGGAAAACAGGCAAGACAGTGAACCGCCGGGGGAGGTCCTGAGATTCGTGTTCTAAAGCAACCACCCACCTTCTCCCCCACGCGTCCTTCAAGAGCCTCTCAGACGAGCTGACTCTGTTTGCTCAGCTCAACATCCTGTATCCTCAAGTGACACACCTCAGGCTTATGTAACCGTCTTTCTGAGAGAGACTAAATATTTCCTGAAGGTGAAGGAAGTAAAAAAAAAAAAAGCGAGGGACATGATCATATGTAAACTTCAACCCTGGGGCCAACACACCTATGAAACACCTGCAGAATTATATATGTCACTATACAGTGTATTTCATGAAGGAACACAGATACAATTTACACACTTTCCGCATCTGGAAACAGTCCACGCCTGCTCAGTCGCTTCCGTGGTGTCCGACTCTTTGCGACACCATGGACTGCAGCCCACGAGGCTCCTCTGTCTGTGGGATTCTCCAGGGAAAAGAAATACTGGAGTGGCTTGCCATGCCCTTCTCCAGGGGATCTTCCCCACCCAGCGATCGAACCTGAGTGTCTTGCATTGGCAGGCGGATTCTTTACCACTAGCGCCACCTGGGAAGCCCCGAGAACAATAGTCTGTGTGTATACTTGTGGGGCAGGGAGGGTGTGTGTGCTAAGTTAATTGGAAAAGTAATACACTGTGGCAATAGCAAGTTCAAGCTTGATGGGGGTGGGGGATGGTACAGATCCAGAGGAAGTCAGATGACCTGGATCCTTCTGTAACTTTAGTGGTTAGGAGACCTATAGGCTTGCTGTTCAGTTTCTCAGCCGTGTCCAACTCTTTGCGACCCCATGGACCGCAGCACGCCGGGCCTCCCTGTCCATCACCAACCCCTAGAACTTGCTCAAACTCGTGTCCATCGAGTCGGTGATGCCATCCAACCATCTCATCCTCTGTCATCCCCTTCTCCTGCCTTCAGTCTTTCCCAGCATGAATAGATAGCCGATGGGCTAAACTCGGGACGGCTGGTGCAGGAACCTTTGGAAGAACAGGTTAACTGTGCTTCAAAAGGAAATAAAATTCAATAGTGGGCAGTTTCCTATCTGCTTATATAGCTCCCCTCTGATTTTATCACCTCATCAAGGGCCAACTTAATTCCATACCATTCCTGCCAAGCTCCCAGCCAGACTACATAACTTGCCCGCCTCCCATGATACGGGCTTCAGTCTTTGAGAGGCAGGCCAAAATTTGTTACCTTCAGCCCTATAAATCCAAGTCTCTGTAAGCTTCGTGGGTCACAGGCATGCCGGCTCCCAGGGGACATGTAAGACGTCGCAGAGTCCTTCACCTCCCTATTGTTCAGTCGCTCAGTCGTGTTCGACTCTTGGCGACCCCATGGACTGCAGCACGCCAGGCCTTCCCACCCATCACAACTCCCGGAGCTTGCTCAAACTCATGCCCATCGAGTCGGCGATGCCATCCAACCTTCTCATCCTCTGTCGTCCCCTTCTCCTCCCACCTTCAGTCTTTCCCAGCATCAGGGTCTTTTTCAAAGACTGTTCCTCTCCCTGGATGTCTTTTAAATGTTTAAAAAAAAAAATCCCTTGCTTCCTGTGTTTTATTTACTGTAGGAATAAATACACGTCTGTGCATGTCCTAGTTAAAAGCCTTGTACCAGCCGTTGCTTTTCTATATTCTTTCAAGACGGGGTTTCCCTGATGGCCCAGGAGGGGAAGAACTCGCAGGTTCCGTCCCTACGTCGGGAAGATTCCCCGGAGAAGGGTATGGCAAGCCACTCCAGTTTTCCCGCCTGGAGAATCCCAGGGACAGAGGAGCGTGGTGGGCTACAGTCCACGGGGTTGCAGAGAGTCGGACACGCCTGAGAGACGAACACTTAATGCATCAGAAGAATGTCCAAGGGCTGGTCACGCCCTCTTTGAGCCCCATGGGTAAAAGTCCTCAGTACCCCTTCCTGGCGTTAAGACTGGCAGAACACATGTATGAAGAAAACGCCCTTAGACGATCTGACTGTTTGAAGACAAAATAAAGAATAAATAAAAACGGAGTGGGAATGCATATTGGTACAGACACTGTGGGCAGTTTCCTATCTGCTTATATAGTTCCCATCTGATTTTATCACCTCATCAAGGGCTAAAAATGGAGCTGCCATGTAATGCAGCCATTTCACTCCTAGGCATATATCCAGAGAAAACCATAATTACACGCATCCCAAACTTCACAGCAGCACTATTTACAATAGCCAAGACACGGGAACGACCTAGACGTCCATCAAGAGATGAATGGATAAAGAAGACGTGCTGTGTGTATCCAACGGAATATGACTCAGTCATAAAAAAGGATGAAATAATGCCATGTGAGGCAACATGGGTGTCAGAGTAAGGGACGGACGTAGAGAGTGTCACAGGAAGTGAAATAACGTCAGAAAAGGACCGATATCGTTACGATGCCGCGTAGATGCGGCATCTAAAATATGACACTGACGAACTGACTCATAAAACAGAAGCAGACTCACAGGCATAGAAAATAAGTTTATGGTAACCAGCGGGGAGGGCTTCCCTTGTAGCTCAGTCGGTAAAGAATCTGCCTGCAATGCAGGAGACCCAGGTACGATTCTTGGGTCGGGAAGATCCCCTGGAGGAAGGCATGGCAGCCCACTCCAGTGTTCCCGCCTGGAGAGTCCCAGGGACAGAGGGGCCTGGCGGGCTGCAGTCCGCGGGGTCGCAGAGAGCCAGACACGACTGAAGCGACTTAGCACGCACACATAGCTTGACAGTGGACCGAATATCAGACCCTTTGGTGTCACAGAATAATAACAACTATTGCATCAATAGAATAGTAATAGTGGTTGTTCTCTTTATAGAATAATTACTCTGTAACAGTTATTTGAGGCAGATGGAGAAATCCTTCCAGGAAAGACAACAATGTAAAAAAAAATTATTATTGTTGATAATATATTACATTATATATTATAATTAATCGATATAATACTTTCTATATAATAACTGCTCTATAAAAGTTATTTATAGAGTACTATTATTAAATTGCTGCAATAATATTTAGTAATAGCTATGATTATATATTATAACTGTACTTGTTATTATACTTGTAATAATATACTTATATTATTATATGTATATATACTTGTGATATATATACTTGTAATAATATCTATTATTATATCATATATAGTGTACACATTGTAATAATACATACCAGTATTACTGTATTATATATATTGTTATATACACATTGTAATAATATATAGTATATTATTATACATAGACAGTAACAATAATATATAGTATTATGCTATATATTATCATATATACATTGTAGTAATACACATATTTTTATGTATATTATATACGCATTGTAATAATACATAGTATTATATTATATATTGCTACATAAACATTGTAATATAATTATTGTATATGCATTGTAATATATAGTATTATTACATTATATATTAAATATGTTGTAGTATACCGTATTATTGTTATATATAATATATATTAAATATATAATATTATTATAATATATATACATTGAACATATAGTATTATTAGTATATATATTATAACATATTATTACTATATTGTATATATACATTGCAATAATATACAGTACTATTATATTACATATTATTATATATATGGTAATAATATATAGTATCATTACATATTATATATGGTAATAATATAGAATAGTATAATTATATACTATATATGGTAATAATAATTAGTACTATATTATATCGCATGTATCGACATTGCCATGATGCATCGCGTTATTATTATTATGTTGCTGACTTTTGGTGGAAGGATTTCTCCGTCTGGCTCCAATCCCAGCGCGTTAGGAATCGTGCATTTAAACTGAACCTGCTCGCCGTCCCTGTCCTTTCTCCTCCCATCTCCCGGTCAGGAGGCAAACAGACAAATCATTCAACCCACAGGAAACAGAGGCTTTTCTTTGAAAGCAGAAATGCGGACCGAAAGTCTTTTAAAACATTCCTCCCCAGATGTGACACTGCCGTGTGCATCCGATGTTGCTTTGATTCCTTCCAGCCCCCTGCCTCCTGGGTGTTTCTTTAGAGGATGCCTTTTGCATTTGCAAACTATTAGAGGACCAGGGTTTGGAAAATAGGAGCGACATCCTTTCAAAAGGCTGGAAACGTCTTTTGTTTTAGCTCTGGAGTCAGAGGTCACCTTTGATGTTCTAGAAATACTTTGAATCTTTAATTCGACTGCATGCAGAAGAGAGGGAGGAGAGTGACATTTGAGACATTTTTATTGCAACTGTTTTTACAGAGGGACCACAACCCACACACTGAAGTCTGCCATAACTTTACTACACGAAGTGTGAGTGTCAGTCACTCTGCTGTATCCGCCTCTTTTATGACCCTGTGGCCTGTAGCCCGCCAGGCTCTCCTCTGTCCGTGGGATTCTCCAGGCAAGAACACTGAAGTGGGTTGCCGTTCCCTTCTCCAGGGGATCTTCCCGACCCAGGGATCGAACCCAGGTCTCCCGCACTGCAGGCGGATTCCTTACCTTTCGAGCCACCCTCATATAATGTAAGACTATGCGATAAATGCAAAACATAACACACCTTCACGGAAAATGCAAACGGTGAGGATTCATGACAAGCACCAGACATGAATGGAATCACTCACCATCTACAGCGTGGCAGTGTATAAATGAAAAAAAAAACACAAAAAACTTAAACTTAACAAAGAGAAGCAAAGGCCTCCACTTTGAGGATTCTGGCAAAGACCTTGAAAACTGCAGCTGTTCAGAGCAAATGCACATTTTCACTCTCACGGAGCAGGTAGATGAAAAGAGCAGAGAAAGTGGTGGTCAAAAAAATACTATGATGAGAAGAGTTTTAAATTGACTAAAGCAGATGGCAAGGGGCCACCGCTTAAGCCGCGGTACATCTTGGAAGACAAATTCAAAAAGGAAGCCAATTTCCAAATTAAAAAAATAAAGCCATCGCGGAAAGAATGGTTCCTTTTTTTTCCCCTCCCCACTTTTTTTTTTCTTTCTTCTTCTTGAGCTGTGCCTACTTGCCCCATTACCCATCATCTCGGAATTTGTGGTGGCGAATTTTTTATGTATAATTTGTTTTTAAGAGTGCCATGGTGCCCTGGAAAGGGAGTGGATGGTTTGCGGGTGTAGGTGGGGCGGGGGGGAGCAGTGGTTAGCTTTGGTTTAGGGGGAGAAAAAAAATGATGAAGCGTCAAAAGAGTCTTTCTCAACACTGTTTACTTTGAAAGAGGTTTCAGGTTCGTTTCTGGCTCATCATGGATGCTGTGTTAAATTAAAGGGTTGTGGGGGCAAGCGTCTATTAAAGATATCTAAAAATAAAATAAAAATGCAGAGGCTGTGTCTCTCAGTCATGTGAAGGAGGTGCTGGGGGTGGGGGGAGAAGGTTTCTGTGGATGGACTGCCTGGTAAGAGATTCTTAAAATAAAAATAGTGCTTACTAATTTCAGGAGATATGGTATTACGTGTCGTGCTTTGCAAGGAGAAAACCCCATAACATATGGATCTGAGAAATCTTACTACGTCAGTGCTTCTAAAGTCTCAACGTTCTTTTGAGTCATCCCAGGGGTCTTGGGACAGTACAGATTCTTATCTGGGAATATTCATTGGAAGGACTGATGCTGAAGCTGAAGCTCCAATACTCTGGCCACCTGATGTGAAGAACGGACTCCTTGGAAAAGATCCTGATGCTGGTGAAGATTGAGGGCGGGAGGAGAAGGGGGCAACAGAGGATGAGATGGTTGGATGGCATCACCGACTTGATGGACATGAGTTTGAGTAAACTCCGGGAGTTGGTGATGGACAGGGAAGCCAGGTGTGCTGCGGTTCCTGGGGTCGCAAAGAGTCAGGCACAAATGAGCAACTGAACAAAGATGGCTCTGGTGCTAAGGAATCTGCCCGCCAATGCAAGAGACGCAGGTTCGATCCCTGGGTGGGGAAGATCCCCTGCAGAAGGACATGACAACCCACTCCAGTATTCTTGCCCAGAGAATCCCACGGACAGAGGAGCCTGGTGGGCTACAGTCCGTGGGGTTGCAGAAAGTCAGGCACAACAGAGATTCTTACTCGCCGTATCTGAAGCAGCGGCCCCAAAATTCTGCATTTCCCGCCCCTCCGAGGTGATACTGGTGCTCTGGGTCCATGGACCACAGCTTTTGAGTGGCAGATGCATTGAAACGAAATCTCCTGGATTGAGAACCTAGCCCTGGATTTGTTATTCAGATCCCCAGGTCACGTTACCGTGTGGTCAGGGTCGCAAAACAAGAGACTGCAGCTTCCGAGGTGACTCAGCAGTGACGAAGCCGCCTGCCAATGCAGGAGACACGGGCTCGATCCCTGGTCCGGGACGATTCCCACGTGCCATGGGCCGACGAATCCCGGAAGCCGCAGCTACCGAAACCCTCGCGCCCTAGGAGGTCCTAGGAGGCCACAGTGCTCCCCAACAAGAGAAGACGCCGCCGTGAGGAGTCCACACACCGCATCCAGAGAAGACCAAGGGCGGAAGAGCAGGCCACACAGAACTGAAGCCACCTGATCTCTCCGCAGCCAAATGGCGCTGGGCTCAAAAACGCAGGGCCGTCCGAAAACTCTGTCCTTCCAGTAAGAAGTGACTTCTTGTCCACGGCCGCCAGCGTTGCATCAGAACGTGAAGAAACGGGTTTGCACAGGCTGTCTTGCGGAGAAACTACATATGGAGAAAGGTCCTTTGGTAAGTTCCCAGGCGGTCCAGAAGCTGAGACTCTTGCACTTCCAATGCAAGGGTCACGGGTTCAATCCCCGGTCAGGGAACTGACGTCCCACATGCTTCGGGGCATGCCCTTCCACAAAAATGAAAAGAGTTTGCAAATCTGTTTAAAAAGAGAGAAATATCCTTGGGCACTCTGGAGAAAGCACCAGAGAGGACGTTTCCAGTTTCAAACTGGAGGGGGTGGTTAGGAATGGGTTTCTGCTATGGCAGCTGCCCCGCTCCTGGTTTATTTGGGTATCGATCACTCAGTTGTGTCCAACTCTTTTTGACCCCACGACTGCGGCCTGCCAGGCTCCTCTGTCCATGAGGATTCTCCGGGCAAGAATCCCGGAGTGGGTTGCCATTTCTTTCTCCAGGGGATCTTCCCGACTCAGGGATCGAACCCAGGTCTCCCGCTTTGCAGGCAGCCTCTTAACCATCTGAGCCACCAGCTTTATGGTGGAACAAAAATGCAATAACTATCTGTACCTCCCTCCCGACCGATGATTAACTATTCTTACTTGGATCATCATTTTGCTCCCCGCCCCACCCCACCCTGAGTTACAGTCTTCTCCTTAGAAGGAGACAAAATAGAAAAAAAGCAAAGGCAAAAAAAAAAAATAAATTCTAGCAAAAAGGTTCTGTGTCACACACACACACACAAATCCACATTTATTTATGTGTTGAAAGAACTCCAAGATCCTGATGTGAAAACAGAAGAAAAGAAAAAGAAGCCCCACTTATAATGATGACGCTGAGCTCTTAAAGGCTTTCTTGTGTAGACAAGTGGCTTAAGAACTCAAGAGATGGAGGCCAAACCCTGCGTTCGGGCTGCAGGTCCCACTTGGATCATACTCAGAGCACCCAATTCACAAAAAATAACGTTCCCTGAAGCCATGAGCCCAGGACGGCTCACACAGAGAGGATTTGCAGAAGCCACCACTGTGATGACTTGACAACACTCTCAGAAGTCGGTTCACTGCCGTCTTGATGTTTCACCCATCCAACAATTAGCTCTTTATTCCGCTTCTTAGCATTCCAGACATGCTGCCTACCAAGAAGATGTGGGGATAACTTAAAGATACGTGCACACACGGCGGGGCCGCCGTGGAGACGTTGGAAACATCCCTGGAGAATTAGCAGAATAACACATGCCAGAAAAAAAAAAAAAAAAAAAGGACCAGCAATAGGAAAAGCAGAAAATAATGATTTATGAGAATCCGGGGCTTTTGCCAAAAATGACCTCAAGCAAGCAGTGCTTTAGGTAAATCATGTGTGGGAGGTTTCTGAGTGAAATATATCCAGCGGGGGAGGCTGTTTGGGGCGGGGGAGGCAAAAGGTGAATTTGGGTGGGAGAGAGGCGTTAAGAGGGAGGGGATCCATGTCTGCATACGGCTGATTCACTTGGTTGTATAGCAGAGAGCAACACGACATTGTAAAGCAATTATACTTCAATTTAAACAAACAAAATAATAAGGTGACATGATGGCAGGGACGTCATCTCTCTTGTACCACACAGCGGTCTGTCGCCAGCTTTGTGGTCAAAGACCCAGGGTCGACGGGGCCAGCCCACGCTATCTGCGTGAGCGCAGCCAAACACACAGTCTAGACGTGGAGATAGCGCTCTGATTAGAACCCAGCGCGGAATCTCTGTAGGGAGTCCAGCTGCAAACGTCAGGCTCAAGAGATGCCTGCCCTAGCTCACCTCCAGCAGACGCAGGAAAACAGCTTAGGACTGCTGCTTTGGAAGCCGGGAGCATATTTCCCTGGCAGGGGAGTTTCATTTGTCTGCTTGATATTGGAGGGATTTTTCTTCGGGTGGGGTTGGTCCAAACTGTCCTGTCGCTCAGTCGTGCCTGCCTCTCTGCGACCCCGTGAACTGCAGCATGCCAGGCTTCTCTGTCCTTCACTATGTCCAGGAGCTTGCTCAAACTCATTCCCATTGAGTCGGGGATGCCATCCAACCATCTCACCCTCTGTCGTCCCCTTCTCCTCCCGCCTCCAACCTTTCCCAGCATCACGGTCTGTTCTGACAAGTCTGTTCTTCACATCAGGTGGCCAGAGTATTGGAGTTTCAGCTTCAGCATCAGTCCCTCCAATGAATATTCAGGGTTGATTTCCTTGAGGATGCACTGGTTGGATCTCCTTGCAGTCCAAGGGACTCTCAAGAGTCTTCTCCAGCAGCACAAATTCTGAAACATCAACTCTTTGGTGTTCAGCCTTCTTTATGGGCTATTTCTATCATATTTTTCATGCTCTATTGGTGTGATGTGTATCTGACAAAAATGGAAACCCGCTCACGGCTTGAGCTCAGCTGATCTTGTACTCTGTTATGACACCTCCTGCGTGTCAGGCAGGTTCTTTACTGCTGAGCCGCCAGGGACGTCCTTACCCGTCTTGTATTTAAAGAAAATGAGCCCCGAAGAGACAAAGTGATTCAACACAGGAAGCTGTCGGTTTGCTGGATGCAGAGTTCTTTTCTGAGACTGGAGACCAGAGGATGAGCAAAAAAAAAAAAAAAAAAGGGATGGGAGTAGAGACTGGGGAAAGAGAGGAAGGGCAGACCAAGAGCAAGGATGCTACGAAGCAGAGGAGATGTGAGGGGGTCGCCCCGGGAAGGCAGGGAGGACCCCAGGAGACACTGACCACAGCGTTTCTGCTCCTGCTACCGGCATGCTCGCCTTTCCTCAGCCCACTCCCCCTGGGGCTTCTGATCTCTTCCCTTGCATGCTTTTGTCCACCGCGTGGGAGGCGAGTTTCTGCTCCAGGAAAGTCGGTCCCGCCGGCAGTCGCCAGATTCTCGCCCGCAACATTTCCTGTGGCCTCCAGGAGACCACGATGCCCAACTCGAATCCTTGTTGAGTTCTTTTAGGAAAAAGACGAACCTCTCTCACCTCCTTCCTGGGATTTGCCTGGCGAGGGGTGGGGCCGGGGCGGGGGTGGGGGTAGGGGATGGATGCTGACTTCTTGTCCTCCCGTCCCTGGACCACGTCCTCTGTCCCTTTCCCTCCCCAGGAGGGCTGGCTGCTGTCCACATGAGCAGATGGATGGCCTGAAGCATCTGGCCGAGAGGTTCTCCAGAGCGTGGTCAGCAGGCTTGGGGTGGAACCCACGTTTGCAGCTCAGCTGCTGAGCCCAGAGTTGCTGACACCAGCGGGTTCTTCTGGGAAAACAACTGCTTCCCACAAACAGATTTTGGGGGGCAGAAAGGACCTTCCCTGTAAAGAAGGCTGAGTGCTGAGGAACTGATGCTTTTGAACTGTGCTGTTGGGAAAGACTCTCGAGAGTCCCTTGGATTGCAATTGATGCTTTTGAACTGTGACGTTGGAGAAAAGACTCTTGAGACTCCCATGGACTGCAAGGAGATCCGACCAGTCCATCCTCAAAGAAATCAACCCTGAAGATCCCCTTGCAGTCCAAGGGACTCTCAAGAGTCTTCTCCAACACCACAGTTTGAAAGCATCTGTTCTTCCATATTCAGCCTTCTCTATGGTCCAACTCTCACATCCATACATGACTGCTGGGAAAACCATAGCTTTGACTAGATGGACCTTTGTCGACAAACTGATGTCTCTGATTTTTAATATGCTGTCTAGAGTTGGTCATAGCTTTCCTTCCAAGCAGCAAGTGTCTTTTAATTTCATGGCTGCAGTCACTGTCTGCACTTGATTTTTTGGAGGCAGTCACTTGGCCAAAATTCTCTTCTACACGAGGAAGCTCTCTCTCCTTAAGACTTTTCAGAGCTTGCCACGGCTCTTACAACGGATGATAGCATTGGCTCACAACGGATGATATCGTTAGCTCACAATGGATGATACCGTTGGCTCGATGCATAAGATCCTAAATTGTGGTCCTTCTTTCTATCCCGGTCTCACTTTTTTAACCCATCTCCGCTTTTGCCATGCTGTCCAGTCACTGTCTCTCCTCCCCTTTCACCTTCATCTGCTGGAGATCTTTGCACGTATCGTGTCTTCCGTGCGAGATCCATCTCTGGCTAGCCGGGCCAACCCACTCTCTCTGTTAACACGTTCTCCCCCAGCAGCCTGTCGATTCGGCTCACAGCACCTACCCCAGTCGACTCATCTGATGTTCTCGTGACCCTGGCCGTGCTCACTTCGTAACCCGCCCAACCACCTAGCTTTGGATCTGGCATCGAGCAGGCGCGTAGCCAGAGCAACAAGGATCTGACGGGTACAAGGACAGCGCTGCGGAGCTGTTGAAGGAGTTCACTTATCAGGAACGGCCTGTCTTGGACGAGAAAGTTAAGCAGGAAACCGCGTTCCTCAGACGCTGCTCTTGTGGGCCCTGGTGATGATTCTCAAGAGCAGAGAACGTACTTGGGGAGCTCAGGCTCCACAGTTCGAGACTGCGTCTGAAGGGCTTCCTTATTCCACCCACGGAAACACACTGCATTTCATGCCTTTTTATTTTGTTTGTTCCGCATCTAAACGCTGGCATCTGGAGCGGAACGGATCAACGCTGTGCTTGTCTCAAACGATTTGAATGCTAATAACCGCCCGATTCTGTTCATGCCTCGGGGCTGACAAGCGTGTTGGGATCCGCCTTCTCGAGCTGCCAGGAGTCAGGTCCCAGATGCCAAGTAGTGGGTGAGGTAGTTAATGAACGGCGAACATTCTTTCCCGGCTTGAATGGAACAGTTCTTTTCTTTAGATGTTCAAATTGAAGGATAGTTGATTTAACAGTGTTGTGTTAGATTCGGGCATACAAAAGAGTGATTCAGTTAAGGATATATACATACATATATATATATATATGTATCTGTCTGCAATGCGGGAGACAAGGGTTCGATCCCTGGGTCTGGGAAGATCCCCTGGAGAACGGAATGGTTACCCACTCCAGTATGCTTGCCTGGAGACCTGATGAATCTCATGGACAGAGGAGCCAGGTGGGCTCCCGTCCATGGGAGCCTCCAACAGTTGGACATGAATGAGCAAGTAACACACACACACACACATATATTCTTTTTCGTATAGGTTACTATAAGATACTGAATATAGTTCCCTGTGCTATATAGTAGGACCACGTTGCTTATCTATCTTATATAAAGTAATGTGTATCTTCTAAGTAAACTTCTAATTTAGCCCTCTCTCCCTTCCTTTTTGGGTTTCCCCAGTGGCTTAGATGGTAAAGAACTTGCCCACAATGCAAATTTGGGGTTTGATTCCCCGGGTCGGGAAGATCCGCTGGAGGGCATGGCAACCCACTCCAGGGTTGCCCACTCCTGCCTGAAGAATCCCATGGACGGAGGAGCCTCTTGGGCTACAGTCCATGGGGTGGCAAAGAGTCGGATATGAATGAGCGACGAAGACTTTCTCCCATCCTTTTCTTTGGCAACCAGAAATTTGTTTTGCAAGTCTGTGCATCTGTTTCTCTTCCATAAATAAGTTCATTTGTATTGCCTTTGATTCCTTTTCAGATTCTTTGAAGAGGAAGGCAACTTGGATGCACCATAGCTTTCTGGTTACATCCTGAAATGATGGGCTCCTATTGTTCCATTTTCTCACATGCTTCCACGGTGGTGTATGTTAGTGACTCTCGGAAGACACAGCAGATGAAAAAAGGCGATGGTGTGTATGTGTATATTTGCATACGGAAGTCCATCAACATTAAACGTGTGTTTCCGTGTTTGGTTTGGATCTAACAGATGAATGGATAAAGAAGTTGTGGTACACATATACAGTGAAATATTGCGTGTGCATGTGTGCTAAATCACTAAGTCATGACCCTCTCTTTGCGACCCCATGGACTGCAGCCCGCCAGGCTCCTCTGTCCATGGGATTCTCCGGGCAAGAACACTGGAGTGGGCTGCCATGCCTTTCTCCAGGGGACCTTCTTGACCCTGGGAATCAAACATGGGTCTCCTGCCCTGGCACGCAGATTCTTTACCACCGAGACACCTGGGAATAGCTAAAAAAAAACCCATAAACTAAAACTGTTTAACACTTGCAGGCGTGTTTGGCTGGTGTGTGCCAAAAAGACCTATTCATTCATTTCTGTCTTCCGTGCAAAGGTAACATGAAAGTTGCAAGCCTACTCCTGCAAAAGTCTCTATTCTAATCCCCTGCAAGATGGGGGAGAGCCAGGTGGTTTCATCTCTGTCACAGAGGGATTTTCTTTTTCACTGACACAACCAACCATTAAAATCAATCATCTTCTAACACAAGGCGTCCTTTGGAGGTGGGACAAGCTTTGTTGGTTTCCCAGTGTTGTGATGGTGAATTTTTCTCGACAGTCCCTTTGGGGGTAGAGAACAAATTTGGCAGGTGCTGCCCATACATTAATTAATATGTGAGTTCATTCACTGCAAATCAATAAATGAATGCATTCAGGGCAAAGAGGAGTACCTGCCAGTGTTATCCATCTCAAGGGTTTTAAAAACGGTGTTTACCTTGGCAACAAACTGCAATTATTTTTCTGGGGAAATTTTTGTTCCTTAAAGAGATAATTTCCAGACTCTTTCCATGCAAGTTTTTGTTTTTTTTTTTTTTTACTGTGTTGAGTCTTCATTGCCAGTCGTGGTGAGCGGGGGCTGCTCTCTAGCTGGGGCTGGCAGGCTTATCATTGCTGTGGTTTCTCTTGTTGTGGAGCAGAGGATCTAGGTACTCTTCTTATCAGGACCCCAGTCCTATGGGACCAGGGTCCACCCCAGTGACCTCATTCCACCTTCATCCCCGCTTCGAAGACTCTCATCTCCTAATACAGCCTCATTCTCAGGCCCTGAGGGTCAGAGCTTCAAGGTAAGGGTTTTGCAGGGGACAGAATTCAGCCCACAGTAAGCTTCTTCTCTATAAACATTATGGTCCTTGGCCCATTTATTTTTTTTAAACAATTTTTGGCTGTACCAAAGGGATCTTGACTTCTCTGGTGGTTCAGTGGTAAAAATACAAACAAAAAAAGAATCTGCCTGCCAATGCAGGAGATGCAGCTTTGATCCCTGGGTCGGGAAGATCCCCTGGAGAAAGGCATGGCAACCCACTCCAGTATTCGTGCCTGGAGAATCCCACGGACAGAGGGGCCTGATGGGCTCTAGTCCATGCAGTCACAAAGCAGTTGGGACACGACTGAGCGTACACACACACACACCCACACACACACACACAGGAATTTTAGTTCTCTAACCATGGATCAAACGTGTGCCCCCTGCCGAGAAACATGGATTCTTAATAGTGGACCATCCTCCAAAGTCGCCCCATTAATTTCGCAGACTCAGATACCAGGTACACACACACACATTGGTAGAAATATCCACCGGCATAAACAGAACCTCTCTAATTAGCAATTTTATTTTTAGCTTGACAGTCACTCCTGGATTCACCGTTGAGGGCATTCAGCCCTCCAGAATATCTCGATGTGAGGTGGTCAACGAACTCACTGATGTTGTTTAGTCGCTAAGTCGTGGCCAACTCTTTAACACTCACCAAAAGACATTTTCTTCACGAGCTTATGTGCAAATGCCTGTAAACTGGTGAAGAAGGGTCTGGATTTTGTCATATATTTTATGATGTTGAAATAAAAGTCACTTCAGTGCTCAGTAAAGTCTAAGAAAATGAAGAACAGCCGTAAAAGGCAGGCGATTGATGAAAAATGTCTAATGGGAGATACACCTGTTTTTTCCAGGAGAGATTAATTCTGCTTCCTCCACGTTCGGGTAAAAGGATAATATCCCCTAAGAATGAAAAGGCATATGGACTTTCTCTGTTTCTTGCAGTTCCTGTCTAGCAGGGTTAAGAAATCTGGAAAAATGAATTCTCTGGCCATTGAACTGATAATTGCAAGGGAAGTATACATAGAACCATGTGTATGGGCCTCTCACCCGATCCACATTTCAGAAGACAATTCTTTTATTTCTTTTTTTAACATAAATTTAACCGAAATCTTGCCACTTATTCAAGAGCCCAGTCTTTAAAGAAAGCGAAACTGTTTTGAGTGTGTGAAAGTGAAAGTCGCTCAGTTGTGTCCCCGTGTGGCCCCGTGGACTATACAGTCCATGGAATTCTCCCGGACAGAATACTGCAGTGGGTAGCCCTTCCCTTCTCCAGGGGATCTTCCCAACCCAGGGATCGAACCCAGGTCTCCGGCATTGCAGGCGGATCCTTTACCAGCTGAGCCACAAGGGAAGCCCAAGAATACTAGAGTGGGCAGCCTTTCCCTTCTCCAGGGGATCTTCCTGACCCAGGAGTCGAACCGGGGCCTCCTGCATTGCAGGCGGATTCTTTACCAACTGGGCTATCACGGAAGCCCACTTGAGTGCATACCATTGCTAACTAATCCCATTTTCAATAGGCTGATAAAGATACAGTGCTTAAGTGGCTTGCCAGCTTTAAACAGTCCCTTGAGATTCACCTTAGGCTTTAATTTAGAATCAGTGACTCTACCAGGGCACTTTTGCCGAGACTCTTCCGACTTGCCATTTGCTGTTTTTCAGTCGATAAGTCACGTCCGACCCTTTGCGACCCCACGGACTGCAGCACGCCAGGCTCCCTTGTCCTTCACCATCTCCCGGAGCTTGCTCAAACTCATGTCTGTCGAGGCGGTGATGCCATCGGACCATCTCATCCGCTGTCGTCCCCTTCTCCTCCCGCCCTGAATCTTTCCCAGCATCAGGGTTTCTCTAATGAGTCAGTATTGGAGCTTCAGCTTCAGCATCAGTCCTTCCAATGAATATTCAGGACTGATTTCCTTTAGGAGGGACCGGTTTGATCTCCTTGCAGTCCGAGGGACTCACTGTTCACAGCAGCACAATTGATGATAGCCAAGACGTGGAAATGCAACCGGACTGGTCCAAGTTATGGATGCAGGAGGACTGTGGAAACGGTGATGCCAGAGTGGGGGTTAGAAAGTGGAGATTCGGGGGCCACGGTTTCAGATGCAGTGGTGGTGTTCAGCACCCTAGGTGTGACCCCGGAAACGGAAGAGCTGAGGGACGTCAAGGGAAAGATGATTTGGGGTTCCTGAAACCAAAGGCGACTGAGGGGTGGCAGGCCTGGCAACCCACTGCAGTATTCTTGCCTGGAGAATCCCGTGGGCAGAAGAGAGCCTGGCGGGCTACAGCCCGTAGGATCGCAAGGAGTGAGACACGACTGAAATCCCTGAGCACGCATGCACGTTGAAGACGGCTCAGGGGGAGCAGGCCTGGGCTTTTACAAACTTCACAAAACATTAGAATCCTAACGACCCAACCTGAATACCACTGGCGTTCTCAGCTGGCCCAGAGAAGCCATAAAAAT